GAGCTCTCAGAAAATGTATAACATTGTAGGGTTTTGTCAACTTCCGCTCGAGTTATCATCTCCGAAGCGCTAAAAACGACCCATTTTTTTTCACGTCCAGGCCGATTCCAAAAAAAGCCATTTTTTCATTTTGATGAAAAAATGATATGTTGTTCCAGACTCTCTGTAGTCGCTCTAGCTCTATACCATATGCTGGGGAAATTCTTTGGTCGTCAGTTAAAAGAGCGGAGAAAAATCGGCTATTTTAAACTGCGCGTACGGCGTTGTTCGGAAGGAGAACGTCCCTTCCCCTCAGTTCTGCAAATCACACTTCTCGGCTGAACTTGCATTGTTGCCAGTGTCCTCTGATCAATTTTCCCCGTCTCCCCAAAATTTTTGGGGAGCTTGAAACTTTGAGAAAAGGTAGGGCATTGTTTGGTGCATGAATAAGGCAAGTCTCAAACATATCCGCCCTGCGCCCAACATAGCCCGTTTTGCACGTACCCCTTTTGCTGAATCGGACTCATCTTGCACTTTCTTAAGAACAAATTTGTTCGACTGAATCACTTAAACACACAGTTTAAAGCATTTTCCCGGATCTATGGGGCATATTTCCTGGCTTCCAGACCCATTATCAAAGTACCTGACTTTTCACGGATGTTTTGGATTTTTATGACCAGCAGTCACCCTGTGATTTTGAAAATTGGCGGACAGATGTAAAAAATTGAATGAAGACAATAAAACAAGAGGAAAATATGCCGCATGATATGTGGTTGCCACAAAGAAACAAATAAAACAACAAACAAAATTTTCAGTTCTTTTGCCTCAATTTTCAGCATCATAGAATGAGCAGTAGGACTATTCGAAAGTATTAAAATTCTACAGATTTTAGTCATGTCATAGATTAAAGCTCAACACAGGGGGCAAAAAAATATCTTCATGAAATGGGCTACATGTTATGAAAACACGCAGGGTTGCGACTTCAAAACTATACAGGTCAGTGGCCCCCATTTTCTTTAAAGTTCATTTTCTGATAGTACAACTTTAGGGTTTCTGAACCTTCAGAAGCTCCTAGGAAATATTTCAAAGTTTTTTAACCGTGAATGGCAAAGAAACCCCATTTTGATGATGCCAAACCTGGGACTCATTTGGAATGATATTATTGGCAGGCTCTGATAAGGTGGCTAAATGAGGGAGACTGCATTAGCTGATTGGCAGCACTCAGCCTCAGACTTTGCTACGTTACATCAACTGGACTTATGGTTGGTTGGTTATTCATTAGCTTTTTCTCCCCTTAGAAATTTGTTTTTCAACTTTTTAACATACTTCTTGGATTTTCCAAGAAATTTTACGTAAATTTAACTACATTAAGACCTTGCAAAAATTCCTTGCCACAGATCCTAATAAATGTGATATTAGTATTGAATACAAAGCCTTTTCTTTTCTGTAAAAAATTACAGGTTGCATTTGTGGTAGTTACGATCAGAGCAAAATAGGACTAAACTTGTTGAACTTGTTAAAAAAAAAAATAAACAAAGCAAAAGTTACCTTTAGATCTGGGCTGTACTTGCTATTTTGCTTGTCTTTATGTGCGACATCCAAGTCCCACTTATCTATTCTAAGAGTAAATAAGTTTGTATCACTATCCACCGGATGAGAATTATATCTGTGAACAAACAGACAAAATGATTACTTCTCAACACAGATGGCACACAGTAGGTTTTCAACACTTTTAATGCTGTCAACATACCACCCGCGAAATCTGTAGTTTAGCCGTTTTGGCAGAAATTTCGGGTCAAGACGCTGAAAAAGTCAAGTTGGGCTGTTTTTGTGGCTTGTAAATGCATATCCTATACATTTTTAGTCAATCAAGTGTCAGTAGATAGCTATTCGTGCATATTGCTTAAAATTGCCTAAATTTCAAAACGGGGGCCATAATAAGGCCTTCGGGATTTCCATTTTTTTAAAATACGCTTACACAGTGTCATATAAGGTGTCAACTCCTATGTAATTTTGGTCGTAGATTTCAGATATGAAGTTTAAAAAGTCCCCTGGTCAAAGGGGGTACCCTAAATCCAAGATGGCAGCTAATTTTGAAAGACAAGAGGGTGAATTTTTAAAATGTTCTCGTGATAAGGCAAGTGAGGTATCATTTCTTATGTAATTTTGGTCATAGATTTCATTTATGAAGTCATAAAAGCCCTCCAGTCAAAGGGATTGCTCGGAATGCCAAGATGGCAACCAAATTTGAAAGGAAGGAGGGTGAATTTTTTAGATGTTTGCGTGAAACATAGTAAAAGTGAATCAGCCTGACGTCAGGCTATGTTTCATAAATTACCCTGAGTCGGACTAATTCTGGCTGACATCAGTCTGACTCGGGGTAGTTTATGAAACATAGCCTGACGTCAGGCTGATTCACTTTTATTATGGATTTCACAAAACATTTCAAAAATTCACCCTCCTGCCTTTCAAATTTGGCTGCCATCTTGGCATTCGGAGCAATCCCTTTGACTGGAGGGCTTTTATGACTTCATAAATGAAATCTATGACCAAAATTACATAAGAAATGATACCTCACTTGCCTTATCACACGAACGTTTTAAAAATTCACCCTCTTGTCTTTCAAAATTGGCTGCCATCTTGGATTTGGGGTACCCCTTTTGACCGGGGGACTTTTTAAACTTCATATCTGAAATCTACGACCAAAATACATAGGAGTTGACACCTTACATGACACTGTATGCCTATTTTAAAAATCGAAATCCTGGAGGCCTTATTATGGCCCCCATTTCGAAATTTAGGCAATTTTAAGCAATATGCACGAATAGCTATTTACTGACACTTGATTGACTAAAAATGTATAGGATATGCATTTACAAGCCACAAAAACAGCCTAACTTGACTTTTTTAGCGCCTTAACCCGAAATTCCCGCCAAAAAATCAAAAAATCGCATTTTCTCAAAAACGGCTAAACTACAGATTTCGCAGTTTGTTGTTCCTTAATCAGTAGGCCTTCTAGTTGACATTTCCACAAAAAAATCGAGGGTGGTATGTTGACCGCATCAAAAGTGTTAAAGACGTACTGTGGGCATTTTTACAGTGAACCATTCATAAGTGACTGATCCTGGGAGAAATGATCATGGTCTACGGAGGCAAATAATTTAGGAGAAATTTTACTCACTTCTGAACTAGAATCCTTTTACACTCAGAGTTGCACAATCTCAGATCCTGAATAACATTGATTGGCAAGAAGATTACACAGTTGTTCGTCATCTTTGGAGAATTTATTCCCATATTTCTTTCCTACATTCTCTGTCAAGCCTTCAGTTCCCTAGTCTATTCCAGTTTACAAACGTTGCAACTGGTGAAATGGTAATTTTTTTGCCTGTTTGTGAAATCCATAAAGCCTCAAAGGTCTATCAAAAAAGGATTTCGCATTGCGCTACTCTGAGTACAAAGAGACTCTACTTCGAATAAAAAATTAGAATGTGAGTGGGGAAAATATCTTGGGGAATAAGTTGAAAATCGTTTTGTCCATTTTTGGTCTTGTGAGAGCACACAATTGCAATACAATCTTAAAGGTTTAAGCTACGCCTATGCTGCTGTGTTGAGAAAAAAAAGTGTCTCGTGAACTTTCAGGGTTTCCCAAGTCATTTCCCTCTTGTCTCCCCAAATAAAACATAAATCTTCTGAAAAATTTTTTACTTATGAGATCGGCGTAGACAGTGTAGTAAGCGTCATGCTGAACAGAGCTCCAAGGTTTAAGAAAGTTTTTCAAAACCAAAATTAAGGGATGTAAGAGAAAGGATGTATGCAATAGTCTCTCAAGGACTTCCAAAAAAAAATGTTGAATACCTTCAAGGTTAGGCAATAAAATGTTAGTGTCCCATGTCCCATAGAAGAACCATTAAGATGGAAAAATAAGATAACTAGAAAGTATATTTCACTGGTATTAGAAACAGCCATAACTGCAAGAAACAAAATCGACCGATGCATATCTATTGCATGACTTAATACAGATGAAAAAATTTTAACAGAAAAGATTAAAATCAATGGTCTTACCTCGGATGAGTACTATCAAAATGGTTTTTACCATTAGCTATTTCAGGTACATGAAGTCTTTCACGAATAAAAAAGGTATTGAACCAAAAATGAAACATCTTTTCCTGCATCAAAGAGAAAAAAATCAAACTTAGTACATATGAAGAAACCAACCATCAATTTTTTTTTTGTTAGTTTATTCCTAGGAGAAAAATGAGAATTTCATTTCTGGAGGATCTTGTGGAGCTTAGACCTGTGAAATATATGGGTAACTTCTCTCAAATCCCAAAAACAAGTAATAAGTATCGTTTTCAAAACTTGCTTCAGAATTTAGGTTGGAGATTGAAATAAATTTCTACTTGCATTTCTAACAAATGATTTTCTTGTAAGATTGGTAGATGATGTCAACGATCATGGTGTCAACAATCAGTTTTTTTAAATTTTTGTTGACACAACGATCATCCAAAAATAAAAATTCTGACTCCTATGAAAGACGATCACAGTGCTAACGAATCTGAAAACTTCCCTCTATAACATTTTTCGGATTTCAAGTCTTGTTTTTCTTAAGCTATTTACTCAAACCAAACCTAACCTGACCCAATCCAACTTAACCTACCCCAACTACCCTTACAATACCTCACCCACTTTCACTGAACTGAATTTTCCCGGACCTTACCCTACCTGTTCTAGCACTACATGTCCTAACCTAAGCTAACCTAGTCTAACTATACGTGACCTAAACCTCCCTTGTAAACTTAGTTTTTTAATTTTACCAGGGACCAGTTCTATAGGACCCTGGACTCCTGTAAGAGCCAATGTTAAAATTCGTAAGCAGTTACTAGTGCAGCTATCTCGCGTAAGACCCTCGCAACTCACTGCTATTATCAGTTGTTGGACTTCACTAAAATCCGTAGGATCACGTACTTATATCTGCAAAAAATCGAATTTCTCACCCCATCTGTTGTTGCAGCAGGCCCTTCCTGGTCGAAAGGGGTCGAAAAACGCCAAAAAATACTTATTTTTCAAGAATTCAGCCGCCTTATGTGTTATTTTTCTATCATTGGCTTAACCTCACTTTAGGAGCGGGCGATGGATGAGTCGAGGTTCGGGAGGAAGGATCCTCTGAGTTTATTAGGGTCCTACGCGAGAATGCGCTGCAATACCCGCTCACAACAGAACGGCGTCCTATAGAACTCGTCCCTGATTTTACTAGTAAGGAAGATATTTGTCTGTTTGTTGACACCATGCTCACGGCCCATTTTTCTGTTTTACTGCCTCAGTACGACGACAACAATTGTTGACTCCAAGATCAGATTTAGGTTTGTTGACACCATGATCAACTTTACTGACATGGTAACTACTTTCAAACAAAATGCCTAACTTTTACTAAAAGAAAGGGGCCTGTGAAAATCAAATTTTCAAAATTCTCTTTCTATCTTTCCGTTCCATTCTACGGTTGATAGTCGCCCTCGAACATGTCATTCATAAATGTCTGAAAAATTTCTTCTTGCACATTCTTGTCACTTATTCCCCATGTATGCTTTTCAAACACTTTCTGAGGTGCAGTCAAACATTTGGCAATATTTTTACTTTTATGGAAGTTTTTGGATCCACCCTGAGGCTTTTCCCTGATTGACTTGCTGAGCAAACTCGTGTCAACTATTTTTTGAGGCTTACACTATAAGCCTGTTCTAAATTATCACTGAATTTCATCATTAAAGTGGGTAAGGTTTCATTTCAGTTGAAAAGTACAGCAAGCTAACAGCAATCTCCAAGGGTATGGCAGCTTTGTCTCCCTTTGGAAATCTTTGCAGCGTTCCTTACTCATAACCTTTTCAGCGGAGACAGCGCCTCACAAATTAAGGCTTGCTCCTACTTTACTTTTATTTTTTCATTATTTATTGGAGAAAAATACATTTATAGTACAGTGAAACCTCGGTAACTCGGTTTCCATCGGGACCGAGGAAATTTACCGAGTTAAGCGGGTTACCGACTTAGGCGGACTGCCACTTTTCCTGCCGCGCTTTTTCGAATTTCGCGCCCTAAATTGGACAAACGCAAACGTGCGTGTAGAGTGACTCATAGGAGTGTTTTGGAGAGCCATTTGATCAAAGAAAATGGTACTAAATGGTAAAATTTCATGAAATGCACTTGAAATTGCGTGTTGAAAGTGTCAGGGCATCATGAAGTCATCGGGTTAATCGTATGTTGGGGTGCCGCGGCACCCCATCGTGTATCACCCCCCGCGCACCCCACGCGGCATGCCGCGCGGTGATGCGCCGCGGCCGCCCGCTATGGCGGGTCGTTGCACTGAAAATGCAACGTATCAATACTCGCTAAAATCCCCGAAAAACTCTGCGGAAGATTCCTTGGGGGAGCGGGGAAGGGCAATGCAAGATGGTAGGGGGAGAGGGGCCGGTGCCGACTGGACCTGTCAACTCATCGATGCGTGAAATTGCTTAATTATGCATGCGTGTTTTCACACGCGCGATAAGATAACATGCGGTATCAGATATCCTATTCTCTACTGTTCTCATCTTTCGTGTTGTTATCGAGTGTTTTTGATTCCTTATTTCTCTATTTCCGATGTCGTTTCTCGCACTGCGCTGCGCTCTCTCGGAGATTCGCTCAACCTTCGTGGCGTAACTTGACCCGACCCGCACCGCGCACGGGTACCTACGCTTGATCACGGGTGACGATCTAAGAAAAAAAGGTCGAGATGGAAAAATTTCACCGAGTTAAGCGGGTTCAGAATCTGACCAAACCGAGATACCGAGACTTATTTAGCATTGTGTTATATGGGTGATAAACGGGACCGGGCGATTCTACCGACTAAAGCGGGTTACCGGCTTATCCGGGAACCGACTTACCGAGGTTTCACTGTACTAAACTTTTGACGGGGCAAATGAAAATCATTATGATAAAGAAGAAGTTGTTAAATCGGACATTGTCTCGAGTGAAGTTTTCTGTAAATTTTGTGTCAAATTTTGAAAAATAATTCAGGAAAATATTGATTTCAAAAGTTTGAGGAGAAAAATTAATTTGTAATGAAATATTGGTGGTGAAACTTCTAAACCACATATCTCAGTATGTGACATTGCAGACTCCCTGCTGTACTTTAATTTTTTATTGGAGGACTCCACAACGGCAATTCTTCAGAACTCCCGTGATTTTTTTTTCTCCAAGCAAAGAAAATTCTGTGATAACTTCAAGGAATAATGTTGATTTGTTCTTCTTCAAAAAAATAAATTGAGAGCACAGATTGTAGAACACCGCAAACGAGAAACATGGTTTGGAAGTTTCACCTTCAATATTTAAGGTTCGACAGCCAACTTTCCTGACATTTCACAGGTCTGTAAAATTACTTTATTGTTCTACATTTTTCCTAACTTTACACAAACCTGTCATCTTGTATTAGTGGAGCGATTTTGTTATTTATGGTTTTTCTCACCTTGAGCATCATTTTTGGCTTGTGGGAAAATTCCACTTTCACATCGCCCTCTAGGGGAATACATTGGTCCATAGTGATATGGATGAAGGGTGAGCCTTTCTTAACTTCTATAGACTCAGACGAATGCAATCTAGTATTGGAATTGGAGATCTGAAACTGCAAGCCTGAAAGAAAGAAGAAATGAATTTTCATAGCTTGGACGAGAAGACTTAGGCACTCAAAATTACAGAAATGTACATAATGAAGAGTTCTATACAACTGTCTATGCTTGCAGCCAGACGCTGATGAAGCCGAAGGGCTTGATGAAACAATCCAGGGACAAAATGGAGACATTATCGTCGGTTTGAACGACAGAAAGAGGCTTAACATCATAAGAAATGAAGATGTTCAAAAGTAGAGGAAGTTAGTTGCTGAGGACTCGAGAAGTTCAGACAATTCTTCATGAAACACTTAGTGTACAATTTGGCAACAGAAGAGGTAAAATTAAAACCAAGGTTATAAATTTAAGATATTAAAAGCCATGGATCTTAGGTCAAAAGGCAAAAATGGTTTTTGAAATGCAGGGGAAAAATGTATTCAATAAATGAGTTGAGTTTTGAAGGTGCTAACAAGATGAGTGTATCTCATTCAAAGTGAATTCAAATACATTCTAGAATTGAAAAGCACCTACAGAGCCCCCTTGGAGCCACTCCCTTCTGGTCATTACTGAAAATGGGTACGTTAAATTTGATAAAGGGACATGGATCCAATCGACTAATGATAAAACTGTTCCAACGCTTGGCATGGAAAAAACTCGCCATAAATAATTATGGATAGAATAATTTTAGTGTTTAGACCTTCCTACCTCAAAGTATTCAAAGAATTTTGGTAAGGAAAGGAAAAATACTTACACCCGTGGGCATTGCTAAAAATGGTGGGTAGGGGTTGAATGATAATCTCACGAATAAACATTGTGACAGGTTTATATGTGAGTCCTTCGTTCACTAATGAGGCAAAGTAGCCAACATACCTCCTCTGACTTGGGATTGTGACTCCCTGTTGAGACAAGAAAAGAAAAATCATTTAGATGACTGCAAAAAATGTTACATCAAAGGAATTTTTTAGTCCTGCGACAGAGTAAGAAAGTGAAAGATTGATTAACGATTTTCCATCAAAAGATGTAGTAATCAGGATGATTAAAGGTTACTGGCCGGAATGTCATAATTCAGAGCAATTTTGAGTGGCGTGACAAACAGACTTCATAACGTCATATAGGTGATACAAGTATCCCAGGAGTTACAACATGACTTTTTCTTCTTTTTCTTAGTATCTAAAGTGTCCTTAGAAGCCTGTCACCAATGAAAATTCAACCCATGAACATAGAGTCGGTAGCAAACTGCTTTAACCATCACTGGAGATGACCTCGTAATGTAAACCTAGCTGTGTAACTAAGATTTCCTCAAGTTTCCTTGTACTCAGAGTAACACAATCTCGGGTCATGAATATCACAAACAGACAGGAAGATTATTCTGCCAAGCTAAGCAAGAACGCCGTAAATCCATCAAGATTTTTCCGCGTTTTTACTTCACACTTTATAAGATAAAAACTGTTTTTCCCATGCACCTCATATTTTCAAGTTAAGTTCTTGATAATATTTGCGAAAGAATTCTGTACAAAATTGTTCTAAGGTACACATGTTCTTCTGCTGATACATTGTATCCAAAAAATGTAAAATGGCGTTTATGGCGTTTTTGCATTGCACGGCAGTATTGTAGATAGTAGTAGTAACAATTTTCGTAACTTTTGATCCATTCATTCCCAGATTCCTTTCCTATATTTCCTCTCTCGTTTTGATTGTTCTCTGCCATGCCTTTAGTTCCCTTGTACATTCCAGTTTTGCAACTGGTGAAATAGTAATTTTCTTGCCCTTACTTGAAATCCATGAGGCCTAAGAGCAAAAGCCGGTCAGAAATGGATTTTACATTGCACTTCTTGGCATAAAAGGGCTCAAAGGTTTCCCTTTGGAAAAACTCTAAAATAGTAAAAAAATTTAATTACTTTAGTGTCAGTAGTCCTCTTCTGTCCATAGAAACTTAGTGCTTCCTGAGCAGTTTTGAACTGCTGACAGTACAACATATAACAGCATACCATTACACCTGTTCTACCCTGTAAATAAAAATGAACGTACGAATGAGTTATTAATTTTCTTTTAAAAGAGAGGAGCATGTGTTTCATGACAGCAGCTGTGATAAATGCTTGTCATAAAAATACATGAAAAATCCATTTATCATATTTAACTTATAATATCCCTGCTGAGGCGAGACATTTCCAAAACAACATTCCTTTGGACCACTTACATGGAGCATTGCACTTTCAAGCTAAAAGATTAAACCAATTTTAGGTGTGGCTCGAAACTTTAGACTCATTCAAGTTTCCACTCAAAATTTGAGCAAGCATATCCCAAACAGTATGATTGACTTTGGATGAAAGTTCCGTGGATTTTATTGAGCCCTCTATGAAATTTTATAATTTACAACTGAAATTATACTTAAGAAATAAGTTGAGACAAATATAGTTATAACGGTACCTACACGAGGAAATGAGAAGGATAAAAATATTTGAGACAGAATCTGGTCTAATTTGACATGTTATTACCTTGAGAGAACTGAATAAACATATAAAAATACTAACCTTTCCTGCTTTACAATGGACGGCGGCTACATTACTTTCGTGAGCAGACAGCCAGCTGTGAACATCTTCACAAAATGGTTGGATAGTTTCCATTTTGGGAGGATTATGGTCGTCAAAAGGATAGGTGGCTACCCTAGACTGAAACTTATTAATATCATAGGATCTCTCTGAACACCTGAGAAAATAGACACACTCATCATTATTCATATTGAATTTTAAAAAAAAGAAAAGAAAAAAAAGGGGCTTCACAATACAATACACTGGCCCTATGGGCTTCACTATCCTAAGAGTTAGAGGCTCTTCTTAGTGAAAAGTTTGGCTCAGAGAAACATGAGCTGATTGCATGCTTCAAGTTTCTCATGAACTAATGTTTCATGCATGTTCAAAATGAGGAAAATTTTTTGTAGTGTATTCCAGAGTTTTTGGGGATTTTTTGCAAAATATTACGGTAGTGAGATTGAACGACTTTCATGATTTTTGGACTGATGAGAACAAGTAAACTGTTTGATTTTTCCATGACTCGGGCACCAAAAACTAATAATTTATGGAAATCATGATTGATATATAAATTTCAAAATTTTGATAATATTTAGATTTATACATTTAAAGTTTCAAAATTTTCCCACCTCCGACTTTTCTTAAACTTTCCCCATCATCCTGCAAGACTTGCAAGACTCAATGTTGATATGTAGTTCCTCTAAACAATAAAATAAGTGGGGAAATTTGGAAAGTTTGCGATGAACATACGCCATTTTGAAGGTTAGCCACGGGATTTCAAGTATAAAGATACATCATAATTATGTTGACTGCTACACTGGCTTGCGAGGACCAGCTTTAAAAATTAGCTTGACGAGAATTTCTCTATTCTCGTAATGAGCTCTCTGTATGCTCCTGGATGAGGTGGAGGTTATTTGCATAGTCCTGAAGAGTGCATTACTCTCGCTGTAGTCTGGACATGACCCTTTCGTGCATTCTTGGGAATGCCCAGTTGATGTAATGTACCCTTTAATTTGTTGCAGTTAACATGTTAATTAAAAAAAGAGATGAGTAACTGACACTTACAGATTGTAAATTTTGTAGTGGTCTCTATGTTTTTCTTCTAGAAACTTGACAACTTCATCGATGTGATTTCGATAAAATCCTTCTATTTTAGCGGCTGGATAACCCATCGCTATTAGATTACTCGTTATGTCTGGAGACGGAGAGTTGAGGAAAATTTCACATTTTCAAAGACACAACAGGTCAGATATAAGGCAAAGAAACATAGAATAATAAAAAGTAGATGTGAAAAATAATTGTCATTTCAACTCCAGGTTGACAAGACCCTGCTCATCAAGTCAACTTGATTGAGTAAAAAAAGCTATGTTTTACTGGAGACGTCTAATTGTGGAAAAAGGTTTGCCAAGTCTAAGATGAAATCTTTAAAAAGAAAGTATGAGCCTCGTGAACTTGGGAGCATTTTCAAGATTAATATGGTATGCAACATTGCAGATTTCCTGACATACTTCATTTTCTCTATGGAAGACTGGCCAACAAATTTTCTAGAAAATTTCCCTGATTTTTCTTCTTGGTAAGCGAAATATTCTGATAAAATTCAAGCTATAATGTTGGCTTTCCTCTCTTTGAAAAAATAAAATAGGGGCGGAAATTTTGAAACACTACGATGGAGATAGGAGGTTTTGCACTTTTGTCATTAATATCTACTACGTCCAGACAATGCAAAGTTCTGTAGAGTACAAAAGGATACAAGTTAAATCAAGATTAAAACCATCTTCCGTGTATCTTTTTTTCTTTTTACTGACGAGTCCTTTGATGGAGTTAGCAACTCTCATATTTGAGATAGTGTTGGCCATCTTCAGTACCGGATCAACATTCGGCGCCAGTTTTTTGGTAGAACTGCTCTGGCGCATTAATTCTAGTATTAGGAGTTCATTCTTCTGAAACAAAAACAAAACATTCTGAATGAGTAACTGGCAAAACTGCTTTTACAAGATTCTTGAGAGTAGAAATCACACATTCTAAGCAAATTTCAGCAAGCGTATTTGCTCAGGCTATTAAACTTACTGCCAATCTCCGTTACAACAAAACAAAAAACTCTCTGGGCAACAACACGCCTACAATATTTGGTTCTCACGCTGGCAGCAATGACAACCACATCTACAATTCTTGACCCACCTCCTGCAGTGGGTTGAAAAGTGGATGGATCCAGATGTTGGCAAAAATTCATCAAGCAACTTACTTTGGTTCTTGACTTCAGCGGAGGATTTTTCTCCTTTGCTTTGCAACCCTGCTAATCTGGTTGAAAGAGTCAACCAAATTCACTCGCGGAACTTTGCTTTTTGTTTTTTTGCAAACGCAGCTGGCCAAGAATTACAACATATTGTACAGGTATTTGAGCACTAATATCCATAAAAATGTTTTAAAGTGATGTCTGGCTTATGACTAGTAAGATTCTGTGCTTGATGAACAATTTTCTTGAATTTTCGTGATTTAAGATACAAAAATTCTCTGATTTTCTCTTGTCTTTTGAAGGATGTTAGAATAAAAATTTCCTTCTTCAGTGTAGTTTTTACTCTCCATGATAACTTCCTACAAAAACTAAGCTCTGTTGATTGAGCACAAGGGTTAAATCAAAATAATTTGGGTACATTAACTGAACAAGAGAGTAAAGATTTCATTGCAGAATTCCCCTGACTTCTCCCTGATTCTTCGTGGTTCAAAGTAATTTATTGAATTTTCCAGGTTTTCCCTGATTTCATCCTGCTGTCAGCCCTCAGTTTCAAATTGTAAAAAAATGTGGTTAGTCAGAATTTGTAAGTGCATGGTGACAAATATTGATTCTCTTTAACTCTAGATTCAGTTGCCCACAGTCGTTCCAGTAGTCACCTTATAATGCTCATCCTGTTCCCAAGATCAATCATTTCGTTAATACAGAGTGATCCAAAAGTCCCTTAACATCCCTTTAACCCCTGGGATTCTTGCTACTTTTCCAGATGATCCCCTTAAAATTTGGGGAGGGCCCCAAAGGTAGTTTCCTTTGATCTTGGAACATTCAAAAAATTTCTAGTCTCAATCTCACTTTATTCAAAAGTTACAGGATTAGTGCCTGGTCCTGCCCTAGTAGCAATAGCCTTTTAAAACATTTTTCAAAAACTCTTGGACAAATCTGTTAAAATTTTTGTATTAGGAAACTCTTTTGGCTACTTTTTTAAGTAAAATTTAAGGGAAAGTCTTAAAAAAACCTCTTAAAATATCAAGTTTTTCAACATTTTTTTTCAAATATCTTCAGTGCTGAAAAACTACAGTTGACATTTTAAGAGCTTTTTTAACACTTCCTTATTTGAATTTCATTTGAAAAAAAAAAAAAAAAAATAGCCAAAAAGGGTTTCCTAATACTACGAATATGTTAACAATTTTTTGGAGAGTTATCTTTCTGAAATTTAAGAGTTTCTTAAAAGTTGTTTTAACAGTTTTTGCTACTAGGGCAATGATGCAGGACTATTGGACCACCAAGTATAACAGGTCATTCAGCTTTTTCACTGAACCTTTCTACAGGGCAGCTGTATGACCTTAATATCCTGATGAGCAGATTAATTGTGCGACCAGGGTGACTCCAGTGCTGACATTTTTTCGATGGCTAGAGCAGGATTGCCTGGTGTTAGTACTCTTTGTCCTACAGTAGTCAGAGATTAGATATATCAGAGATCTTGAACACCAAGTTGATGGCTTAAGTGCAAAACGACATATCTCCATTGTGATGTTTAAAAATGTCTGCTCCTATTAAATTTTTTCAAAAAGAAAAGAGCCATCTTCATATCTTGAGACTTATGCAGAATTTTCTGCAAACAGAGAAAAAAATCAAGGAAATTCACACAAATTTACATTGACAATTTTCCAAAGAGGGATTAAAATATGGCAAGAGGTCTCCAACACAGCAAACGGAGATATGCGGTTACGCACTTTGACCATTGATGTGCATTGCACAAGGCACAGAGAGTCATAGCAGAAATAGAGGAGCTGCTTTTATGTCTTGACTGGCTCCACGCATTGTGTATCCTGAGTTTTGGTCACTGTTTTCAATTCAGAAACAGTGAATATGACACATGTAAGGTGGATAAATTAAACATGTACAGTATATTATTTGTACTTATAAACATGAGAATACAATGAGAACTAATTTTAGTCCATGTAAACAAGTACAAAGGAAGAATCCTTTAATTTGAAAGGGCTGAATGGAAATGATTCCAAAGCAAAATAAAAATATCCAGCAAGTGGCTAGGAGCCTGAGTATGAATGAAGGCAATGCACTAATAATATCTTCATTGCTTGGTATTTTACTTAAAAAATGAAAAGACTAGAGCTTCTGAAAAGAAAAATCCTTCATAGAATATATACTATAAGTAGGTAAACAAGGGAGAAAATGTTTGTACCTTCTGTTATGAAAGCTGAAGGTTTATAAATGAAGAAGAATAAAACTCAACAGTGCTGGAAGAGTTGAGCCTAATGTATACATCTGACTTATCATGGAGCGACGAAGACGTGTGATTAAAGACAGGAGATACTAGGGAGAAGATGGTTCTGAATAAGAACAAGACTAAGTCCAATTCTAACAGGTCAGCCTGCAGCCTGTATGACATTGAGTTGGCTACTCCCATTAGAAATGCAATTATTTAAACTTTGCAATGCCAAGTAGAGTCTCAAATCTCACCAATAGGAATGACTAATCCTTATGGATTGGTCTTAAACAAAACCTAACTTATAAAATAAAAAAAAGACGCTCAGTGGGCAAGCATGCAAGATAGAAATATAGGTTATGTCCTGTAAAATGAACTTCACGTAGAATGATGAAAAGTTGCATTTGACATCTGTGCAAACAGAAGCAACTCTTGGGGAGAATCAGGAGAGGAAGATAAAAAGTACTACATAAAACTAGATTGAAAAAATACGACTGCTGAATTGTGAAGTGATGCAGGATACAGGCTCACCGACTTAGAATCAGAATAAAAGTTGGCAGCACAAAATCATTTGGGACTAGCAAGCCATGATACTATTTGCAAGCTGAAGTACGTACTCAAAGTAAATTCTGCAGCACACTTCTATGTATTTACTTTTTGTACGGCATATTAATTATCGGTAATCCACTGTAGCAAGGAAATAAAGGGAATCCGTCTATTTCCTACTTAGAATCTTCCTCTGAATGGATTAAAGGGAGGAGACTGGGTAAGGAAAATAAACTTAAAGGCAGTTGTTAAAGTCTTACCAGGTGCACATATGGGTTGTGTTAAGTCACTAGCATTTGCGTCCGGGTGAGTACAGGATTCACTTTGACCCAAGCTAGCAGATCTTATTCTCATAACCCATGGTACTAAAACCATGGAATTCTAAAAGCACAGCTAGATTCCGACTGTAGAAAGCGAAAAAATGTCAAATTAGAAAACTTGAAAGAGTTTCTAAGAGGTGAACGGTCACTCGCGGTATCAAAAAATTATTGACCCAGCGCTGGTCTTGACATCATACTTGTCATGGATAAGAGGAGCCAAGTGACGAATTTACTTATAAGTGGAAGTTACTACTAAATGAGAACGTGAAACAACTGCTCAAGTTTAGTTGTGATGTTTTACAGAAGAAAATTCACTTGGGGTATAAGAGAAGCTATAGGGACGGTCAAGACGAAGCTGTTGAGGGATTTACAAAGGAGACAAGTCCGGGATAAAGAAGACCTGGAAAAGGATTTGCAGTCAATTGCTTCAATTAGGTCATTACGAATAGATACATATTTCTTGTATCCCTATTAAAATCGCTGATACCGAACTTCCTACATTAGTACATCACATGGACTTTGGTTAGATAGAGAATGAGAAGAGTTTGCTTTTGCTGAGCTCTTGGACAAGGAATTCAACACGAACATGGCACTACTGAACTGAGGTCATGGTAGACTGAAGAGGTACTTCAAAATTTAGAATAACTAAGAAACGTAGTACAATGAAAAATTCACTTTCGTACAAGCACCATCAACTAACCTGAGTGAACAAAAGAAAAAAGAAAGGTGAAATGTAATGGCGTCTCTAGTCCAAGGTGAATCTGATGTAGATGCGAATCCCACCCTTCGGAAATCTTAAGGATGCAGGTTGCAAGGACCGATTTGCAATACGGGCTCGAAACACTGTTCATATGTCTGAGATCAATTTTTATCCTAATTTTTTGAACGGAATTATTCTATGACACGGAAAATAGGAGACCAGAAAAATGAAACTTTCGCTAGCTGCAGGCTCGCCAATTAACTTTAAAACTTTCTGATGTCTTCTTCTGTCTAAAACTCGTAAAAATTATTCAGGCTAGGTTAATAGGATTCTGATTCTAGAGGCAAAATTAATCAATCGCAATTCTCATAATTTATATCGGCTTCGTGAAGTCTTACTTGCAAATGTAGAAAAAGCTCTTCAAATGAAGAAAATGTGATTTCAGGATATACAGGGCTGAAAATTGCTGAAACAATTGCATCCAACTGTGTTGCCATTTAGTGCTGCATAAACCGTATTTTCCCAACATTACGATGGCAAATGGCAAAGTTTTCAAAGAAGAGCTGGCAACATTCTTTCAAATTTCTCCATGGATTGGCATCAATGTTCTCTTAGGTTGGCACCTACTGCATCGACATGTAAACACTCAAAAAAGTCGCAAAGTTTATTTTATTTATCAGTAAATAAACTGTGTCGCGTGTGAAGATAGAATTAAAATTTAGTGAGCTCTCCTCCTCAGGTTTCGCTGATTTCCACCGAACATCCGTGGAAGTTATTAGTATCTCTTGCCCCGAAATTGGCGTTCCTTGAAATTGAAAGAACGGAAGTCATTCTTACTGTGTTCTCTGTCTCCATTCATACCATGACCATGTCGTTATATTACTTCTCCAGAGTCTGTCACATGAAAAATTTTCGAACTACAATTCCCAGCGGTACATATTTGTGAAACTTATCGAATTCTATTTCATCGATCAGTTACATTTAAGTTAACCTGAGCTGTTCTCCTTAGCTTGGTGCTTTGTAAGGCGCGCTTCTTTAATGGTTTCTCTGTTTTCTGGAACTCCATGCCATGCCGCATATTCAAGTAACTGGTTGCTTGAAATGTTTATCTCAATCTTGAATGAATAACACCTCTCTCTTCGAGTTTAGATTTTTCATATTTGATTTAAACCAAATCAAACTTATATCCCACCTTATAAATGAGTATGTTGCGAGAGTTGAAAGAAAAATCCCAGAAGCGAAAGAAACTCCTCGCTCAAACGGTAAGTTAATCACCTAGCTGTCATCATATTTTATCATTCCAGCAGCCTGATTGTTGAAATTTTTTGTTTGTCGGGAGGACATAGATGATATAGGTTAAAAGGCGGAGCGTGATAGGTTGGCTATGTCTTATCGCTGCTTTGTCGTGTTTGTCAGGTGGAATGGACGACATACTGTCGGCAACTTAAGAGGTGCTGTTAGCTTGTCGTGAGTTCAACCCGACAAAGCAGTGATAAGACATAGCTGACCAATCACGCTCCGCCTTTTAACCTATGTCATCTATGTCGACCCGACAAACAATTTTAACAATCAGGCTGACGGTCTGATCTGGTGGGAAGGGGGAAGAAGGGGCTGAGAATTCCACAGTCGAATGGGTATTGCCATCTTTCAATGCTGCAATGGTTATGTTACCTTGCCTTGCACTTTGCTGGAGTTTAACAGTTTGTCACCTTCCAGCCAAAATATCACAAGAGGCATGTGGCGTTTCAAAATTTCCACTGCCATTTTATTTTTTTTAGAGAGAAACTGTTGGTTGAAACTGTCCGTAAATTTCATAGAATTTTCTTTGTGCTGCCTATAAAATTTATTGAAATTTTCACTCAGATTCCATCAACAGTTCCTCTGTAAAAAAATAAAATGGTGTCAGGAATTCTGGAACCTCGCATGGCGCTCGTGATACTTTGGCCAGAAGGTGAGGAGTTCCACTAACTAACATGCAACTTGCTGATTCAGCAAGTTACTACATTTTCCTGCAAAATTTACTCACTGAAACTAGAACAATTCTAAAAAATTCAAGATTTGGATGTGACTGATTTTTTTAACATCCCTACCGCATCAATTGACAGAAAATTTTTCGAGGCTAGCAAGGGAGAGAGGATATCTACAAAAGCGCATTACCCACTCATCACCCACTATCTTGATTTATTCCTCTTTCTACGTATCCCCTGTATAAAAAACTCAATAGGAAGATATTGGTCCCATTCCAGAAAGGGGTGTTTAGCCTAAATGACAACTACTAATGTCAAACTAGGTAAATCAGCATCAGTATGGTATAAAATTTTTGCCTCTAAAGACATTTTATGAAAACAAGTGATGCACCGTGCCATTTGCAGTTTGAAACTCCCATCTGTGGAGCTTAAAATCTTTGAATAAAAATGTTACAAATTTTTTTTTTCAATGTTTTTTGGTGAATGGCCATATACTTATGTTTGGTCCAAAAGGAAATAGGAATTTTTCTAAATAATATCGGAAAAATTACTTCAACTATATTGGTCCGTCAATTCCTGGTTAGAAAATTATTGGAATTCATCGCCAGATTTTAAAATTAAAATACTTGCCGAATAGATATTTGTCTCAGCAAATTTACAACCAACTCATTTTTCTTCTTTATTTTGTCCCCAGTTTGGTGTTTCCAGTGTGAATGAACTCAGACAAGCTTTGGGCACCAGCGGGGAATGCCGCAAAGAGTTAAACCCCAGCGGACATGTACCTGATAAATTACGGAAACATTCTCTGACTGATGAGTTAGTCTACAAAGATTCCTCCACTTTTCTGAAGGTTTGTATGCATGTGGAAGGGAGTTTTAAGCTTAGCCCTCAATGCACACAAATATTGCATCAAAGTAGGTTCCTAATTTGCGATGGAGTCTAACAAAATGGAGTCTTAAGATAATAAAAAATGAATGATATCAGTACTGTAACTCCAAGAAATTGAAAATAAGGTGACTACAGACAAGGTATGATCTAGAAAAAAATGGTGCAGGTGAGTTCCTGCTTTTCCCGCTGTGTAGAGAATTTCAGTTGTAATCTCAATTTAAAGTACGTGGCAAAAACTCCCTCTCTCAAAAGTAGCTTCTCTGATTTTCTGTTGTGTAATTTTGTTGTCCACAAGAAATTTTCGGAAAATTCCGTGTTGCGCTATGTTGAACTTACACCTTCTCTAGAGGCTCATTCAAAGTTTAAAAAAAATTGATTGATAATTTGAGAATAACAAAGTGAAAGTTAGCTGGCATTGCTCCTAGTTTTAGAAACAATCCATTTCAAATGCTTGTAATGTTATTTATATCTTAAATTGTGAGTTGCAATTTGATACGATGTCCCCATGAGTATCAGAAAGCTTTTGGCATTGAAAAATGAAAATCGCTATTTTTGATCTCAATCAAGTTTTTGTTCACTTTAAATTTCAATTTAATTAAATTGATTGACAGCTGTCTGTCGAAAGTAGACAACAACCATTACTATTATTATTATCGAATAAGAGTTATAATCAATTATATTTAATATTTGTATTAAACCTCAAGTTCTACATTAAAATCAGATTTTTTTCTACCATTCAGGGCACTCAATCATCAAATCCCCACAATGACTACTGTCAACATTTTGTTGACACAGGGCAAAGGCCGCAGAATTTCATCCGTGATGTTGGTTTGGCAGATCGATTTGAAGAATATCCCAAGTTGAGAGAGCTCATCAAATTGAAGGTTTGTATTTTTTTAGGGTCTGAAGTCTCCATGAAAGTATCAATACAACAGGGGTCTCAAGAAAATATCCTTCTCACCTTTCCTACGTATGTTCTAAGGTAAACTCACCTACTGGCATGAAGTACACAGTGGCTGAAAGTCTACCTCATTGATCGCGTATAATTTTTTCACAAGATATAAAGTTTAATTCGCTGAAAATTGAACCCTAATTTTAGGTATGTTTCAGAATTATTTTGCACTTCCAGGGGAGGTAGAGGGATTAGCACTACATGACAGGATGTAAAAAACAGTATTTGGTGCAGGTTTTTTTTCACCCTGGAAATTTTTGAATAGTTTTGACCTATACATTGAAACTAAAATTCCTCGTCTTTAATGGAAAAAGGGCCATAATTTTCAGCAGGCTTATTTAGTCCTGCATGACAAGGGGGCTAAAATGTTGCTTGGTTTTCAACAAAACAGTGGCAAAAATTAAAATATGCAGAAAATAGTCAGGCTAATTTTGATTGAAGCAGCCTTAATGATCCATTAGGCCTCAGCAGGACATATAATTAAACACAGATTCACATCTGAAAGTATCACACCATGAAAAAGAAGGGTGAAAGTTTCACAAACTTGATGTGTTTTAGAACAGGGTTTGTCAGGATGTCTACCAGTCTAGAATTTCTGGAAAGTCCAGAAAAAGTACTGATTATTTAAGGTTGGTCCGGAAGTAATGAAAAAGTGCGAAAATTTTGCAAGTAGGTCCAGAATTTTTTCCTCCATACTACGCGTGTTTTTTAATAAAGTCTGGAAAGTATGCAATCTACTATGTGTTGATTCCTAGAGCAGTATTTGCCTGCAAGATTGTGATGGTGCAGTCAGTTAATCTTTGAGCCACCAATGAAATTTGGTGTCTACGTCATTTTTGTTGCAATTCAAGCGAGAATTTTAAATTTTCGAAATTTTTCGAATTTCGTCAAATGGAGGTACTGAAATATACTGAACTTTTCTGTTAAGGAGGTACTGAATTCCTTGGGAATGTACTGAGGAAGTACTGCGAAAGTATTGATTTTTGGCCAGCCTAATTTAGTAGACACACTGGTTTGTGGTGTTTTGATAAATCCTTAAAATCCTATGTGGATTTTTCATTTTTATTTTATTTTTTTTCTTATTTACAAGTCTTGGAATAATTTTTAAATTTTGGTAATCAATCGAAGTTACTGTAAAGTCCGCAAGTTTTAAATGATATCATCATTTTATTTGTCACTGTATGAATGATTAGTCTTCCTCTCTGTTGCAATGGAGACTTTCAAAATATCACATAGTGCGTCTGTATGTCACATATCAGCTTTTTAATGCATAGTTGGAAAAAATAGAAGAACAGAAAAAGAAAATTTCAACTTTAATGGCATTCTTTGAAGCCTTCAAGAAGCCTTTTTCTTGTGTATGCTCTAAGTAAAGCACCTGAAACTTTTTTTCGGAAATTCATACACAATTCCCGAATTTCCATGATTAACTACCCTGAGCTCTTCAGATAATCTATGAAGTTCCTTGATATTAGTTCTGAAAAGCTTTTTTTTTTTTTTTTAGTTTTTTAGTTTTTATTGGGGATTTCACATACTACATATATTACAAGTATTAAGAAATATACAGGTTAATATCAAAAGCTTTAATGAATTTTGCAGAGTTGGTATTGTGCAGAAAAATTATCAATATTGCCCCCTCCTTCTTATTTTCAGGATGATCTTATTGCAACCACAGCAACGCCACCTATGTTCCTAAAATGTGATCTCCACAATTTTAATTTAAATGACCTTCAAAGTAAATTTGATGTGATATTAATTGAGCCGCCTTTAGAGGAATATCAAAGAACATCTGGAATTTCAAATCTACCTTTTTGGACCTGGGAGCAGGTATGTGTTAAAAGCTATGATTATTTTAATTTTTCTGCAAATTTTTCTCCCTTTGTCTTTACAGTTGTCTGTTTGCATTGTTACATTCTGAGCAAGTAAGTTGAATACCTCAACCTAGGTGGAACCAGCGAATCATGTATCCTGATTCTTTTGTTTCACAATTTTTGCTTCAATTTTTTTCGACCGTGGCGTATTATAAGATATTTTTGTTTTTTGTAAGATCTAAAAAAATATTTTGTGCAATAACAAGTCGGACAGACTCAGATATTTAGTAGCAATTTTAACATACCCATGGTGAAGGAAAAATACTGCCTACCTGCAAACTGACGATTTACAGTACGATGGAGGAACTTCGCTATTTTTGTAATTTTAGGTTAGATTTGAAATTTTTTTTCTCCATTACAGTGTCATTACAGCGTTGTCATGTGGAATTGGAAAAAACAATCATCAGTTTGCGTGATGCACAATATAGAATGTGGCAGATTCGCTTACTCATTTTTGCCATAATCGTATGTCAGCGTGCTGATTGTTTTATTTGATAGACAAATATATAGACAAAGAAGACATAAGGAGTATGGAGCGATCCTACCGGTTGAAATCGGTGGTTCTTATATAGACTAAGGGAGAAAATGATTACTAACTAAAGGGTTTCCCGTGGGTTGCCGTTTGTTAGTCTCTTTCCTACCTCCTCTGTCCATTGCAACCACCCGCTTCCACCAATAGGATCCCTCCATATCCTTTTTGTTGTCCGTGTCTACCGCTATGTCTACCAATTTCAACAATCAGTCCGCAGGGGGTATTGTCCCTTAGCCCTCTACATATCAGATTGGATGCATTAAGAATTGGAAGAAAAAGATGAAGAATCAATGTCTTCTCATATGGTCTTGCTAAAATTTCTCATCTTTATTTTATCTGTCTGTCTCATCCAATGTTTTTTTAAACAAAGAAGTTTCTTCTGCACCTCTAATTTTATTCTCTTTGTCCTAGATTATGCAGCTTGACATAGGTGAAGTAGCAGCCGCAAGAAGCTTTGTATTTCTGTGGTGTGGTTCATCGGAGGGACTCGATATGGGAAGAAACTGTTTGCGAAGGTGGGGTTTCAGACGTTGTGAGGATATCTGCTGGATACGAACAAACACAACCAATCCAGGTCATTCCAAAAATTTGGAAGCCAAAGCAGTATTTCAACGGACAAAGGTAAATATATGCCCTCTATCAAATGTCAAGATCTATATTTATTTGCTTCCTTAGAAACATTACCACCAATAAGATTGTTTTATAAACTTTGCACTAAAATTTGTCAAATTATCTTGATTTTAAGCTGATGCACGGCAGTTTGCCGCAAATTGCAATCGTGCGCAAATGCCGCATATCAGCTTAAAATCAAGGTAATAGGACAGAATCTTTAAAATTAATTTACATTCAACGTTCATGAATCATTATTTTCTCCCAAATTTAGCATAAGTACCAATTGATACATATAGCAATGACATGAAAATAGTATGTATGTGTCCAACATTTCAGTTATTCGGCACACTTTTCCAACATATTCAAGCTGGATTTTTCTTCTTGTTATTTATTTTAAAAATTATAGTATTGTTAAAAATTAATTTTTTTTTTGGAGAGTACACCAATTCAATAAAGTTAACTTTTCCCAAGGTAGGGGATCTGAGCGCCAGAAAACTCAAAATTGAGTTATTGGTACCAGTGCATACAGAAAGTTGAACATTTTGGCACAAAAAAAACATTTAAAAAAGTCAAACCAAACTACAGTTGTGACGGTTTGAAGTTTGCAGTTTAGAGACAGTAGTTTCGGACGAAAGCTGTTTACGGTCACAATCTGTCAAATTTAGAACCCAAAATTGTCCGAATAACATGCTCCTTACACCCTTCGTGAGCTTGAAAATAAACTTAATTGCAAAACTTGTTTTTTGGATACCAAAGCGTGTTGTCCGTTGACAAATATAAATTCTTTTGTGAATAATTTGACATGTAGGCATGGAGGTCTTTTTTCTCAAATAAAAGTAAGAATTTGCAAACATAAGGTCAGAAATAAGCAATTCAAAGTAAATTAAAGGGCAAAATTACTATTTACTCTTCAAATGGATTCTTACGATCGCCAAGAATTCCCTTAGTTTGCATCAAGCCAGTAACATCAAACCCAAATAATGATAAGCACTTATAATGGTAGCCTTGCAATGACAATCATTAACACTAAACGTTTTTATGTAACTTGGAGTACAAAAATAGGTAGATGATTTTTATCTGAAAATCATAATACTCTCAATCTTGTTTTTAGGAACATTGCCTGATGGGCATTAAAGGCACTGTCAGGCGGTCAACTGATGGTGATTTTATCCATGCTAATGTAGACATCGATCTGATCATTAGTGAAGAAAATGAATTTGGACTTAGGGACAAACCCGTTGAAATATTCCATATCATAGAACACTTTTGTTTGGGCCGAAGAAGGTAAGAAATTGGACTTTTTTTCCTGTTGATTTTTAATTTCAATAATTTTTAACTCTTCCAAAAAGATCATTCATGAATAGTATTATGGGCATCAAAAATAGAGGGTATGTAAGCCAACACAATGATGACTGGCAGGATCTGGCATTGAATGATGTTATGCTTTATCATCCCTCTTTGAAAGGGACCTAATATTCTGGAAAAGAATGTTCCCTAATATTTTTCTAAAGCTTGGAGGAAGAAAATCTGGACATTTTAGTGCAGGTTTGACCCTGAAAGATCAAAAAATGGAAGGAGATGTTAGTTCTGAAGTTCAAAGACCAAAAATTCTCAGAATGTAGAAAAACATAGTTCAAGTGTTCGGTTTGCAGAAAATGAAGAAAAATTCTCTCGCAGAAGATTAAGTCCCTTCACACAGATACGGTCACATCCACATTTATCAATGTTTATCACAATCACAAGAAATCTTGTAATGAGACTTGTTGCCTGGGTCTGAATAATGACCTGATATTTTATCAGGGTGTCTACAAGTCCAGAATTTCCGGAAAGTCTGGAAATAGTACGGATCTTTGAGAGCGGTCCGGAAGCACTGAAAAAGTGCGGAAATTCTGCAAGAACGTCCGGAATTTTTTGTCATTTTTGTCGCAATTTACGCGAGAAATTCAGATTCTCGAAGTTTTTCGAATTTCGTCAATTGAAGGTACTGAAAAAGTACTGAAATTTTCTGTCGAGGAGGTACTGAATTTCTTGAGAATGTACTGAAAAAGTACCGTTAAAGTACTGATTTTTAGCCATCGTGTTTTAGTAGACACCCTGTTTCTGACTTTAGTGTTATATTTTAGTTTTACATGGCAGCCACCTTTCTCGCATGCGGTTAGCCATTAAATTTTTTTAGGGTCATTCTCAAATCGAATTTGTACTTGGATTCACCTTTTGAGCATTTTCCATTTCTACACATGCCCCAGGATTAGAAAACCAGCATGCACCTGTGTCTGTTCACTTTTTTTGCTTCTCATCTATATGTTTGCTTGCCACTCTACACTTACCTTCACATCAAGATTTAATACCATGATTTTTTTTTTTGTGTTGCTGTCAACAAGTGAGAGGCTACCAACGGATCACCAGACAGGCTTGAATAGCACCACAATATATGTTTCCTTGTCGATTTTTATCATGATAGACACAATATAACTTTCCAAATTCAATTCATCAATGAGAAAATAGTGTTTTTTGTGTACGGTAGTTCACCTCTCCTGCACCGAGAAAAAATGCACGGTTATTCTACTGTTATGCGGTTGTAATGTCACATGGCATTCCACGGTAGTAGAACCTTGGACTTTGGTAAGATTATTGATGAGCATAGCAGCATAACTATGCTCGTCGTAGAATTATTGTGCTGACAGTAATATCATGGTAGATGCGGTAGCATCCCCGTGCTCATCATTACAATCATCAAAACTCACGGCTCTACTACCAAGGAATCCCGTGTAACATTATTACCACAGTAACCGTAGAATAACCGTGTTTTTTTTTCTCTGTGTGCTCACAAATAAATTGAAGGCTCCTTCAGTCAAATTGAGCACTGAACTAATGCTACATTTTATGATGGAAGAATTTTCTATGTGGTGACTTTTTTTTGACAAGATTAGAGACACTTTATATCAGAAGAAGAAGAAATTGAGTATAAAACCTAGATCCTAATGCATTGCCTGAAAAATGCCGAACTTTTCGAAGGTGAAACTACTAGACTATGTTCCTTGTTCGTGGTGTATAAAAATCTCCGCTCTTATTTTATTTTTTGTTAGGAGAACAAACCAATATCATACCTGAAGTTTCCATAGGATTTTTTTTGCACAGAGAAGAAAACTCATGGAAATGTTGAAGAATTGCCATTGAAAAGTTTTCCATTTTAAAATAAAAGTATGATAGGAAGTCTGCAACGTTGCAAGCCTAGATATGTAGTCTGGTAGTTTCACCATTGTTATGCATTATTTTCCATAGTTCATTTGACCTACGTTGAGTGTGTTTTTTTTTTCACAAATGGGAAGTTTTACTTTACTGTTTGTAATGTAAATTACATTCGTCAATTTCTCTTTTATGAGTTAACTTTGGAATTTTTTGGTGTGTTCGATGTGTTCTATGTTAAATTTTAACAAGGAATCATTTGTTTCATAATTCTCCCCCTTACCTTGTCTTGTGATCCATCACATTAGGTCTCCTCCGCAATTCCAGGCGCTCTCAATATCTCTCAAATCTGCTTGGCTCCGTTTTCAGCTTTTATGTTTTGTTCTTAATTCTGTAGGCTTGTCCGAAGTTATAATTATGAATCATTCTACCGGCCTCAAATAATAGCCCGAATTTCCAAGTAATTCAAAGATAGGGCACAGTTGAATGCATCCTTTGGCCATCTTTGTCTGCAAGATCTTTGTTCTTTTATCTGGCCGTAATTTTAAACATTTTCTAACTCCGAGAGATACAATGCCTAACATGTTGACTTCCAATGCAGAGTTGGTCTGGTTTCAGCTTGGGGTTTAATCTCAGTCTAATGTTTGGAGTCAGAGGGAAGTCTGGAGGGCTACCTGCGGAAAGTGTTGAAATTTTACCTCTAATTTGTAACATTTCTAAGCTATTTCAGCATTAAACTGGATGAAAAGAGTCCGGATGACTTTTTAAAAAATTATTCGATTGGGTTTTATTTGATTTTATCGGCATTCATTGATTGGTTGTGGATTGACTTTTTATCACTGATTTTAACACTATACAGTGTACTACTGAACTGTGATTTTTACACAAAGAATAAAAGCCTACAGTGTGAAAATAGTCTCAACAAATTAAAAAAATTATGACGTCCTACTCTGTTCTTCAATTATCTGATATGATTTGAAATCTTGGCAATGATATTCCATCCGTTATTCTGGTCAGCGGGGCCTGTGACATTTTGGAGGGGCCCCAGAGCTGAGTCAGTGACTTAACCTGTGACCATTCAGCAGGTCTGAGAAGTATTTCCGCGAAATACATGTTTTTAATTCTCTCTCAGCGCCGATCTGCAGGCCGATTATTGAAATTGATGGACAAAGCTATAGACAAAGAAGACAATAGGAGGTATGGAGGGATCCTATTGGTGGAAGCGGATGGTTGCAATGGACAAAGGAGGTAGGTAAAAGACTAATTTACAGCAACCCACAAGAGACCATATGGTTAGTCCATCATTTTCTCCCTAAGTCTATAGGAACCACCCATTTCAACCAATGAGATCGCTCCATACTTCTTATGTCTTCTTTCTCTGTAGCTTTGTTTATCAAATTTAAAAATCAGCCCCCTGGCCTGGATGCTCTGCGCAATATTTTAAACCTAAATGGACTATGGATAATCTGCGACGGCTCCTAGAAGCTCCTCAGCAAAGGATTTAAATCGAACGAAAAAAATGCCTTTTCTGAGAGGTGTCTCAAGTTAAGAAAAAAAGCAAAAATTACTAACATCCTTAGTAAGAACTAACCCCCCTAATCAGCTGCTCTCCAGCTCATATTTTTAGATCATCAGATCATCATATTTTATTCTCAGTTTAGGTATGATCGTTTGAAAGCAATAAAAAGTCTGTATTATCGAGAAAAAACACTAAAATGGCTCAAACAGTACACAACAAGGTTGTAAAATGGTGCTGGGTCCACACCATTTCGTGGGGAAAACAAAGCCGGGAAGTTCCAAAAATTTCAATTGAGCCAAAAGGAAAAAAAAAATTCTTTGATTCTGATTGAAATTTTTGGATATTCTTGACTTTTTTTTCCCCATGAAATGGTGAGGAGCTAGCAACATCTCACCACTCTGTATTATCTTTTATCTCAAATCGTGGACGGTATCGGTATTAAATTTCTTTAACTTTACATGATTTCTTTACCATTTGCAAATCATCATGAATTGCAGCCGGAATCATTCAACCTCTTTTTTCTGCAAGCTTAGGGATATAGGGTTAGAGGCAGGGTTAGAGGCAGGGTTGCCGGCGGTCTGGATAACCGGAAAAATCAGAGGAAGTCAGGGAATTTGCGGCGACTGTGAAAAGTTAGAGAATTTGTGGGAGAAGTCAGGGAATTTCTGACTCATTTACTAATCACTAAAACATATTACTGATCTTCCACCTGTTCACCCTTTTTGGTATTTTTAAGGCTTGTCATCTCTTAACTAGCCACTGAATGTTTTATTCCAAAATTTCATCTCCGAACAAGGAAATTTTGTCCAAGTTTAGTGAAAGTCAGAGAAAAAAATAATAAAGAAAAGTCGGTGGAAATTTTTATTTGAAAGTTAGAGGAAGTCAAGATCAGAAAATTTTGGAGACAGAAAAAAGTCAGGATAAGTGAAGAAATTTAAATATGAAGTAATTATGGGAACCCTGTAGAGGAGACTAGTTTTTTTGCTGTATTCTTCGTGTGATGTAAATTCGCGATGAGTCGTAATCAAAGTAAGCAAGCTTTGTAAACGTCCCGTGTTTGATCCTTGTGTATTTTTTCAATCAGATTACACGTATTTGGGCGCGACAGCACAATTAGGGCAGGTTGGTTGACTCTTGGACCCGAACTGACCAACAGTAACTTCAACAGTGAAGTTTACGCTAGCTACTTCTCAAATAGTGTATTGACGACTGGCTGCACTGAACGTATCGAAGCTCTCAGACCCAAATCTCCACCTCAGAAAGGAAAAGTTGCCTCCTCATCTCGAGGCCGAGGATCTGGCCGAGGCAATTTTCTTCGAGGTAGAGGCAGAGGACGTTAAGTTTTTTACCAAAATGTACAGCAAAGATTTTTATCATAGAAAGCCACAAGTTATTTTGGTGGCAGCCAAGGATGATGCGAATAATTTAATTTACAAACATTGAAAATCTGAAAAGTGCGTTTTATATTTGTACAATAATTAATTGACATTATTGTCTACCTCTGTCGATTGATTCATGTTTCTGTTAGGTATTATATCATTGTTGTCTGATGTTTGCAGCTGTTTTGTTTTTAGATAGCGTATAAGTCAATTCCTCGTGTATAGAGTCACTGATACCTTTACAAATATCAGACAGTTGTCAGTATTAATTCACGTTAAGTCTAATTTGTTACAAGTTTGATGAAAAGTTTTCTAAGTCAGTTCGTAATTTCTGTGGTTGATTTCAAGCATATCGAATGGTTTTTTACAAAATGAATTGAGTTTTGATAATCTAGATAATATTTTAATATAATTTCCTTGTGTCTGCTCTCGCTTGACTCGGACTGCATGTTCAGAATTTCTAAACTAAAATCATTCCGTACTTTCAAATTTTAGCCGAAACCCTGTTACAGTTGATTTGGAGCTGTGGCAGCACTCCTCCTTTTGACATCTTTTTATTCACTTCTTTATAAATTTTAATTTATTCAATATTTCTATTGTGATCTTAATTGTGTAAATAATTTATCCTGTAAATATCTTTTTGTGCCACCCTGTACCTAATTAGTTGTGCAGATAGGTAATATTTTGAAAATATTTTATAAGAAAAAACCTGAGGGTACTTTTTTAGCTCAATAAAATTATTTGTGAATTTCTTGAAAGATATTATGAATAAATCATTCTCTGGACAAATGTCATCAATGTCTTTTTCAAATCAAACTCCCCTATCCTTTTATACTCATCTAAAGTGATTGCTAGCTTCATTTGCAGGCGAAAGAAGGTCAAAAGAGTAAGAAAAACTTCAGTGGGGTTTGACAATAAGTCAAATCTTCAAAACTGCATTCCAACATCACATCTCACATCTGCAGCGACATTTGGTAGTTTTCTCCTCTTCCCACTTGGTGTGCTTTATTTATTTTTTTTGTTTCTAATTTCATCTCATGGATGTTTAAACTCTTTCATTTGTCTCTCAGTATAAATCAAGGTCCAGTGATCTTTCAGGCAGAGTTACAGTATAAGTAGACCAACTTTAAAGCGCCCTTAGGTATAGTGTAGAATGCGACGGACACTATACAGGGTGTCCCAGACCACCCATGCCAGGCATTTTTCTTGGTTGGTGTAGGTCGCACGAAGTCGGCGCTCGCGGGGTTGAACAGGGAATCGACCCCAAGGAATCCGAATTTCATAGTCCTGACCCCTCTCCCCCCAGCCCCCTTTGGGAGCTAAAGGGGGGATTACGAACCCAAAAGTCAGGGTTCTCGATAGAATTGCGATTCGATTGCATTCAAATTGAAAAGCATGAAACATTTCGCGTGAATTTGATCCCTAAAAATCCAAAATCAGACCACTTTACGCTCAAAAATGATCTCTTGAGGAGGGGGACAGCGGCCCCTCCTATAATTTCCGATCGATCAAAAATTGACATAAATTCTCTGAAAAAAGATGGTTTCCCAGGTAATCGACCCAAAGGATTCCGATGTTTATGGTCCCGAAGCCCCTCTAGCCCCCCTTTGGGGGTAAACGGGGGAGACACCATTTCGAAAGTCGGGGGAAATGACCAAACTTTCAGTTCGTGTAACCGAACTTACGAGGTAAAGTGAACTGATGAAAGAAGTTCGGTTTGACAGTTTAATGTGACCTGGAATACCGAACGTTCAGTTCAGAAGACCGAACTTTTCGTCTCATTTTCAGTGAGAGAAGTGCGTGTATTCGCTTCTTTAAGTATGCAGGTGGGTATATACTTCCGTGTGTTGGGTAGTACATGTTTTATTTCACCGTATGGGGACATCAAGCGGTAAGAATAAATATACATTTGTGAGAAATAACGTGTGGGGGCGGGAGACGACCACCCGCAGACTCATCTCAGAAGGCTAACCCACTTCCGGACCGTCCAAATCTCCTGCCCTTCCCCCATTACCTATTTTTCCCCGGTGTTTGTTCTTCCTTATCTTTTTCTTGGTCTTCACGCTTCCCAAGTAGCATTTTTCATGGAAAAATCGCGATATATTGCGATTTTATCGGCGATAAAATTGCTAGGATCATCAACATCTGAGCGATTTTCCTCGATCTTGTTGCAATAAAATCACGATTTTATCGCCCGGCAATTTATCGCGATATTATTGAAACAAAAATCGCGATGTTTGGCGATTTAATCTAGATTTTATCAACGAAAATTGATCGCGATTTTATCGAACGAAAAATTGCGCTGCATGGCGATTTAATCGCCATAAATTGCAATTTTTCATTCGATAATATCGCGATAATCAACTGATAAAATCGCTATTCTTCCTCGATCACTGCTACTTGGGTTTACATTCTTGACCAACATAGTGCCAGACGTAAAATGATCCAAGAAGCCGGTTTAGGTGTGTGTACATACACATTTTATTTTAACTTCCGGATGCAACTATTCGGGCTCCGTGGATGTTCGGTTCGTGTTGCAATTATATTGTAATTTTCCGTCGCATTCCTAAGGCGCAATGATACAACTATTTGAACTCTCCGGAATGCGTGAGGTATCACGCCGCATTTGAAGGCGTTTTCAAAACAGCCAAATTCCGATACCCGGATTATCGTTTTGCATAGTTCATATTCTTTTGTTATATTCCGTACCACTTGTTTATTTTTAATCCTCGTATAAAAACCACCCATTTGCTAAATACAATTCTAGCTGGAGCGCACTTCAGCTATGCATTCACCGCTGCAAAAGTGTCAAAGGAAATCGACAAGCCCAGCGTGCATGGAGGCTATTTCCATTTTAATCTTCCGTCTTATTCTTACGGCGCAATGATACAACTATTTGAACTCTCCGGAATGCGTGAGGTATCACGCCGCATTTGAAGGCGTTTTCAAAACAGCCAAGTTCCGATACCCGGATTATCGTTTTGCATAGTTCATATTCTTTTGTTATATTCCGTACCACTTGTTTATTTCTAATCCTCGTATAAAAACCACCCATTTGCTAAATACAATTCTAGCTGGAGCGCACTTCAGCTATGCATTCACCGCTGCAAAAGTATCAAAGGAAATCGACAAGCCCAGCGTGCATGGAGGCTATTTCCATTTTAATCTTCCGTCTCATTCTTACGGCGCAATGATACAACTATTTGAACTCTCCGGAATGCGTGAGGTATCACGCCGCATTTTAAGGCGTTTTCAAAACAGCCTAGTTTCGATACCCGGATTATCATTTTGCATAGTTCATATTCTTTTGTTTTCATTTCTAACCACTTATTTATTTATAATCCTCCTATAAAAATCACCCATTTGCTAAATACATATCTAGCCGGAGCGCACCTCAGCTATGCATTCACCACTGCAATATTGTCAAAGGAAATCGACAAGCCCAGTGTGCATGAAGGCTATTTTAATTGAGGACACCGCACCAAGAACAGCCCATAACTTTAAACCGCGTGTTGAGAAAAACGCACATAAAGTTTTGTTTTTGATGTACCCTGGTACCCTGTTTTGGTGTTTTTGGGTGACCTAACCCTTGTATTGAAGGATGCCGGGTAGATTTTGCGATACGTTTTGGGTTTACACTCTAATATATTTAATTTAAAAAAGCGGTTTAAAGGCCATTATTACGCCCAACAGTCATTTTGGTGGCAATATGAAGTATAAATCATTTTAATCACGCATGATTAACGCAAAATGAAAGAATATCGACAGTGAGTAAAGAAAGGGGTAACTAGCACCTCATAGGCCCTTAAGTTTATAGGCCCGCTTATAGGTCGTTCTTGCACCCATCGATCCAGTGGCCTGACTTAACTCGGGAAAAAAAGGTTTTTCGACCTCGAGCCGTTACCTATCTATATTCTATCGCTACCACAGCATAGTCCAGGGTACCTACGTAGAATCCGAAAAGCAGATGGGCATAATAACGATCTATACGCCTATAGGCTGTTCTTGGTGCGGTGTGCGGTGTCCTCAATTGTTGCATACGCATGGAAGTCTCGCAGCGCGGCGGCATCGGCGGACTTTATTGCGAGGATCAGAAATGGCAAAGTCCGCGCAGAGCGCACTTATAGTTCTTTGTTTATGATACACAAATATCTCCTAGGCACAAATGTAGTTGCATACAGGCGTAAGATGTGATAGTCCTTTATGCTCCAGTTTTGATATCGCCATGTGCTGAGCATGATTTGTAGAGCAATTGTTCGCGCCTAAGAGCTGTCTTTGAAGTTTACATGAAGAATTGAAGGCGCAGTGCCATTTTAGATCCGCGCTGTAAAGCACGCCGCACACTGAAGCTAGCCTTTCATAGAGGTTAAACATGAAATTTCCAACTAGAACTGAAAAGTTGAATGTTAATGTCTTCATATTACAAATTTTATGGGTTTTTTCATCAGAGAAATTTTACGAGGAAATCGATGAAACTACTCACAAAACCTCCAAGTTCCGTATTCACTTCTAAATGAGCGTTTAATGTTTCTGCATTTTGCCCGACTCATCTCATTGACTCGCTGCACCGAGCGCCACTGGTGAGGCGGTCAGTGTCCGAAGTCAAAACGCCTTCACCCTTGTGCGTAGGCAACACGGACATCCATGGAGCTTGAATAGTTGCATCCAGGCGCTACAATGAAAATTCGTTGCATGCGACACTAACTGCAGCTTTGATTGTATCTCTGACCTTAACTTAATTTCTGCAGTGTCTATTGTACCGATGAAGTAATCTATCACTGATTCTTATTGCGACATTGTTATTTTTCCAAGAAATGCATTTTTTAAATGTATTACAACGTCGCTGGCTCTCCAAATCGCAAAAAATTAGATATCTGAGCATGATACGTTGAGTTTCCTTTAACTTATTTTAACGAGTCGTCTTTTTTTTCGGTTTTTTTTCCTTTCGGAAAACTGATTTTGACGTTCAAGTGCGAAGTTTTCAAAGAAAAATCGTAGGTAATTAATTGGACGGAATCTAAAACAAACTCGGTGACCATTCGTGTTTCGACAAAATGAAAGTCGATGAGAGATCTGTAACATCACAAGCCTAAATAGACGTAGGTATATGATTTCTTAAGTGTAATGGCGGAATTATAGCACCATAAAGTATGGTAAATATATTAATGAAGATTACAGGTATTATCTTTTCCTCCTGAAACGTGGGCCGCGTTTAGTAAATTCATTTAATTTTCAAGTTCCATGAAGAACCCAGGCTACAATTCGGCATCTAGAATAACCAAATACACAAAATTTAGGTCGTGGTGACCTTAAAATGTTTCTGATTTTCAGCTGATTTTCAACAATATTCTGGGGAGGCCAAGGGTGCGTCAAGAAAAATGAAAGTTTAAAATGTTCCGCTTCCCAGGCCGCAATCGATGAGTCGCGTTTTTTCCAAATTTAGCCCCTCCCCTCTCCAAAGTTTCAGCCCACGTGCGACCATTGTTTCCTTGCAACGAAAAACTATTTATTGTATGCCTCATAGTTCCTTTCATTGACATCATCTGCTAATTGTACCTGTTAGTAAGTTAGCCGTCACTACCTTTTAGTTAGCAAAAATGCGTCGTTATATGAGGGCATGAAAGAAGTCAAGACCTTTAAAGTTACACATCATGGTCTAATTTTAATTTTTTTTCGTGGGAGAGAGTAGCTGCATTCAGCCCCCGTTTATTTACCTCCTTTCTCCCCTTTTTTTGCCCATCTTTTATCACCCTACTCTTCCCTGCACGCGCATGAAAAATATGTGGTAGAATGGCCATGAAACCGTCCGCGTGTTTTTATGCTTTCACGTATGCCAGGTATGCGAACACGCGCTGCTGTTACAGCTCCTGAAAAGCCTTATCGGTCATCGTGTCCGACAAAACTATTTTGAGGAAAAAATACCTGTGTCGCCGGTGCCGCGTCCTCCCAATTCGATGCAGTTATCGGAAGCGTCGCATCACAGAACCGAGCCTTTAAAAACCTTGAAATATCAGGGAGATTCGTCCAAACCAGAAAAGTCAGGGATTTTCGCTCCGGAACTTTGAAATTTCGGTCCAAATATACATCTATTTTACCACATTCCGACGCTCTATCGACGGAAATATCAACTTCTATCCTCAAATTCGCGAATTTTGGATTTCCTCGATCTCAGCAGACTTCGCTTTGTAAATATTGTTTGTGTAAAGCAGTTTAGTAAGAAATAAAGCCCCCCCCCCCCAAAAAAAAAAAAAAAATTAGGAAAAGTAAACATTGAAAAGTCAAGGAATTTTATAGTCGAAAACCGCGAGAAGTCCTTGAAATCTCCGGAAATTTTGAAATCTAAAAAAAAAAAAATGTTTATTTCGATTGAATGCTCAGTTTTAAGGCAATGGCATAGCAACGTGTCGGCCAGATGTATAATATTTTCTNGGGGGGGGGGGGGGACTCAAAATGACGCTTAAGTTCAGAAAAGGATGGAGTAAGAGCCGGAGCATCCAAACACAGCAACCCGATTTTCAGCAAAATTGCAAGAGGGGACAGGGATTGCAGGATTTCTCAAAGCCGGTGTCATTAGTAACAATAGAGTAACAAGGTTTCGAAAAGTCAGGAGAAATACGGAAAAGTCGGTTTTTACTGAACCTTGGAAAGTTATAAAATATTTGCCCAGCAACAAAAATTTTCCCAGATCACTTCTCTATTTTCTGATATCAATTGCTCATTTTTGAGTTCTTGTGGATTGAAGTCCTTTTCCCTGTCGTCGGTCAGCAAAATTATTTTCACGTGAAATTAAAACTTACATATTTCCAAAGCCTCAAAATTCAATTGAAAGTCTGAAGCGGGCCGTTATCTCGGAAATCAGGTTGTGTGCATATTTTGTTATTTTGAGAAACTCGAGGTCAAAGGTGAAATTGTGGATATGATTTTTTTAAAAGAAGGATATTTCTCATATTTCACAAGTGGTTTTTAGCGGTCTCATCCGCATGTTTATGTCTTTGACTTGGTATTTTCATAGCACCTTGTCAGGATTCCGATCACGGCTTTGGCTCGATTTTTTTAAAAAGTGTTACTTCAAAAACTCATGCACTTGACCCTCCAGTTGCAATGTAGCGACTGTGCGAAAATTTTCTCTTATATTTTACATTTCCTACGAAAAACTGAGCAACATTGTGCTTTGTCAAAGGAAAATTTACAGGGGCTTTTGTTAGCCATACTTATTACTGAAGCTCATTTTTCTACAGTTAAGGAAATAATGAGAAAAAACCGAGCAATGTCAAACGCAATCAGGCTAGATCGGGTCAAAATAGTCCTATTTTAAAAATTTTTGGGGGGAAGCCCACCTCCCTCATCTCTCCAGAATATAACTTTCCCCCCTCAAAAGACGTAGTAAATTTTATAACTAAAAGAGAATCATTCATTTCTGCCATGGTAGTTTCGTTTGAGCCTGATAATGAAGCTGGGGGTGTAAGATGGAGGTTTAACAGTCTCCTCTTCCGTACGTTTTTCAGTCGCGCCATTTCGGCGAGACAAGGCCTCAAATCCAAAGCAAAGGAAGTCTGCAAAAGAAGCAATCAGCCCGGAAATGATGTTCTCAACTGGTAACTTCGACCACCCACCGTCCCTCCTCGGTTTGATAACCGAGGAACTGACAATGATAGAAACCAAAATGATGCCGAGCTGTGCACCTGGAGGAAATTCTACTCGCTTTCAGCGCGAGCGCGGAAGAAAATTACTGCGTTGCGCATAAGAAGATTTTCGGCACCGGACAGGATGGATACCTACCCTATCAGTTCAGCGCACTGCGCATTTCGTCCGAATTTCAGTCGAAGCGCAGCACTCATAACGTCCTGAGTTGCGTTCCCCGAGGCAGCCGCATTGTTGGACCCGGTACTTTGACCCAACGCTGTCTCACCTCTCCATTCCTCGACTTTTCATTTTTCCTCTAAAAAAGTCTCGCATCAGTCGGTTTTCGCAGCTCTTTCGTTTATAGCAGATTTTAAAAACGCGTAGTGAATGAATCAAGTTTTTCAGTTTTCAAGATAATGAGAGGAATCATGAAGCCTGAAGTTAAACCGTCCGACACCCAATCGGTGATTTCCGACGCCGGCACCAGTATTTCTGGCTGTGGATCCAGCCTCAGCGACAATCGCGAGGACCTCCAGGAATTTGCGTTCCGACTGGGCTTGCCTAGCGTCGACCACCTGACCAGAGACCGTTTTCGGGTTGATCGCCGTAAGCTCGAAAGTATGATTTTAGGTGAGTTGGGACTTCCTTTCCTCCATAAATTATTTTCTCGCTTTCCTTTCTTTAAAAGTAATTAATCTAACGTTCTGCCCAGTCTCATTTTTTGTGGGAGTTTCAGGACTAACTTCTAGGGGTGCATCCGCACCTTTTATCTCGGCGCGTGAGACCTAAAAGGGGTGGGGCTTGGGAGTAGACGAACTCAACAAAAGTAACAGCATCCATTAAATGTTGAAATTTTGGAATTTAAAGTACCAAAAAATTACAGCACTCTCAAGACGAGTCGATAATGGATCGACCAACTGACAATTTCTAGATTCTGAGAATTTTTCCCGAAAATTCTGAGTCGCATCGCTCTGAAGTGCATCAGGTATCAATGTATAAAAAATTCATCAGACAATTTTTCGGAGGTATTTTGAAAGGATTCCTCGATGAAGTATAGTGAAGCACGGTATACGACAGCGTGATTTAGATTTTGAAGATTTTTTATTTTCTCAAAATCCAAATAAGTATTATCCATTGATCGATAATAAGTATTATCCATTGATCGATCGATTGACCATCAAATTGGCCTCGACAGTGCTATGTTAACACCTCAAATTTGTATAGTTTTGAAGATAAATCCTGACCTGTTTTATCTTCGTCTTTACCTAATTGAAATCCTATCACAGACCCGACAACTGAAAAAACCCTTTTTACTCAAAAATGTTGACCTTTTACCTCGGGTACCAATAAGGAAAGGGCAGCAAGGAACGATTTTTTTCTATTTTCTTTTTTTCCGTGCAACTTTTATTAGTTTTAGCAGGCGCTGTGCCAGATTTCCATCTGAAACCGTGGAGAATTTTCACGAGGTTTAAAATTTTTTTGATTTCATTATTATCCACTCGGATATAGAACGTGTTTTAAACGAGCACTGAGCACCCATTCCTTGATTCAGCAATATCAGTTTATTATTTAAATTTATATTTAAGGAAGGAAACGCGTATCAGAAGCTGGCTACAGCTGTATGAACCGCCGCCTTACACAGATTAACAGTCTCTATCAGATGGGATGAATCATAGAATAATCAAGTCCGCAATATCGAACAAGTACGGATTTTTTTTTAAATAACTGAGCCATCGGAAGCAATCCAAAATTGTCGCCCGATAGTGTTGAATTTTGCCAATTTTTTTTTTCGGTCGCAATTTTAAAACGGCGACAGACAGAAGAGACTAGCGGTTTGGATCAAAATTCAGCATTTTTTATGTTTGTTTTATTAATGTAAATTCCAAAAGGGAGGTTGCTCCTGTCAAAAAAAGGAGTTAGGATCTGTGCCTCCCCCCCCCCCTTTGGGTGGTACACCCGAGAGGATCCAAAATTCAAGGGGTCCAGTAGGTAGTTGCTTGGGCGCTCCAAAAATCAAGTGGCTGTCTCAGTTTGTTCAAAAATTACAGCGGTGGTGCGCGTAGGACCATAGAATCACCCTGTACGAATAAAAGTAAGGCTATAAAGAGAATTTGTCTGCACTTTAACAGGCGGAAACGTGAAATTGCAACTGCGTGTGTGTGGACGCTGTGCCTCAAACTGTTATCATTCGGAAGAATTGCATTCTCTTCATCCGTCTTATCTTCCGGTCGGCGAGGAAAGGAAAGTTCTCTCCGATCCACAGACGGAACCAGAAACCTAGCGGAAAGAGGGTAGAACTGCCGTGCCAAGGAAGAACGCCGTATAAGCCTTTAGACGTTGCCAAATATCCTTCGTTAAACACCGAATTTACAGGGAAAATTGTGAATATTTTTTCCAAAATTTTCAGACAATTTCGTACGCTATTTAATCTAATACTTCTGAAAATTTCAAAGAAAAATGTGCATGAATGTCGTCAAAACTACATGTTTTATCAAGAAAAATTTGACAACTTTCGAATGTTCATACGGCGTTCTTCCTTAGAACGGCAGAGAAGGACACCGCATCAAGCGGAAGGGGGGGGGGGATACAGGAAGTTCTTCCATCGAAGGAGGTTTCTAGGACTCCCCTAGCTCATGAAGGGGGGGGGCGGAGGGCCTTCTCCGGCAAATTTAGAAAAATAGAGTTGTTATAGGAGCAATTTTGAGCTGTGCTCCGAAAAATTGATCTAATTACAATTTCCCAGAAAGATGCGTGTCGCCCTAGGGTGCGGCTTATACGAGAAATTAAAAAGGTTGAATTTTGAAATTGACAAGGGATCCCGCCAAAACGTTCTTAATAGTGTAAAAACAAACGTTGTAGAACAGTTTTGCATTTGGTCAACATTTAGAGGTTGCGACGGGCCTTTAAAGTTGCCAAATTTGGCTAATTTTCGCATTTTTTCGTCAATTTTGGCAAATTTTCCCAGGCCTTACTGAGAGTTCTAATCGGTCAATTTATTCATAAATAGGCAGTACATAACCTAAAATGTACCCCATCCTCCACCTTAAGCCCCCCAACCCCCCTCCCTCACCGATCCGATATAAATACACTCTTTATAAACTACGCTATTTTGGTAGTGACCAGAGATCTTAAGTAACACTGGTCAACACAGGTTCAAATGTGATTGTACCAGGGTAGTTTTTAGCGCTGAGTCCGAAAACGACCTCCGTTTTGTTGGGTCAGGTCTATTTTCCCCGTAAAAATCAGGATTTTCCTTAAAAATCGAGCTTTTCCGGTGGAAAATCAATTTTCCGGAAAATCTGTGCACGATGGAGGAAAGATAAGGTCATTTTCGGATTCAGCAGCTAAAATTACATGGGAATCCATATATTGCATGCCTATTGAAGTTTCCGTTCTGTTCCAAATATCGAGGTTTTTCCGGACAAGTGCCCCTTTCCGCCCATGTAACGCATGTAATACCAGTCCGATTGATTTGCGTCGGAAAGGAGGGAAAATATTTTTTCTCAGGCGACAGGTGGAGTTGACTCCACTAAATTATTGCCACTGCAGCCGAAAATGACCCTCGTTTTCTTCCAAACTCTATCAATTTTTTTTTAAAAATCTTTTTTTTCGGAAAAAATGCACCTTTTTAACTCAAAAACGTTTAAAAACATCCCCTCTTTTCGGAATCTGAATTTTCCAAAGGTTCTGAAAGGAAACGAGGGTCATTTTCGGCTGCAGTGGTTTTTCGGCATTTTCGGCAGCACAACTATTACTGCTCCTAGGAAAAAAAAATCAATGTTCTTATCTAGAGCTCTGTAGAGTTATACATATTAGGTACTTTCCCCTAGAAAATTCCGAAGAAGTGAGAGTCGAGAGAAACCGTCGGGTTTACATCATAGGGAATGAAGTCCTGAAAATCAAGGAATAAGTATAGTCAAGAATACTAGACACCGTGCATTTAAATTTTTCCCCGGTTCACGTTTGAATATAAGGAAACCGCCTCCTAAATTATATTTCAAAACTAATTCTATGATTTGTTCTCGAATGATACTTGGGTGCCCATGCCTAATGAGTTGGAGCAATTTTAGGACGAGACAGCTGGAAGATCGACCATCATTCCTTCTTGCATTTTACTGTTAAGTAGTACAAAGTAAACTGAAGACACGTACTTGCAAATCTCTGTCGCAGTCTGAATAGTGAATATGTTCACATTTTTCCGGCGCGGACTCTTTTCAATCCCACTAATTCTGAGTACCTATTTCGTCACCTTCCAGGCAAAGTATCACAAGCGCCATGCGACGTTTAAAAATTTCCGCCGCCATTTTATTTATTTACAGAGGAATTGTTCAACGAAGCTGTCCGAAAATTTCACTGAATTTTCTTTGTGCTGCCGATAAAATTTAGTGAAATTTTCAAACAGATTCAACCAACAATTTCTCAGTAAAGAAATAAAATGGCGGCGGAAATTTTTAAACGTCGCATGGCGCTTGTGATACTTTGCCTGGAAGGTGACGATTTGTACTAAGTTCTAAGTATGTATACTAAGTATAGGTCTGCGTGCATGCAATGTTGAAATAATACACCGTCTAATATGTATATCTGCATCTTAATAATTCTTTTTTTCTTGTCTCTTTCTTTTAACAGGGGAAGAACATTTAGAGCCAGCTGACGTATTTTTCCAAAATGTAAGTTAAAACGTAATTTGTTTTCATTGATCATTTAGTTTACGATTTAAGCAATTCCGGGAAATCGAACGTCTTGCAACTGTACTTATCTTCTTGCTCAGCCAAAAATCTGTATGCATCAAGGGCGTCATTTTTAGAGAGCACTTAGGGGAGGGGAGAGGAGGGGATGGGATGGTATGGTGATACCCCCCCCCCTTCCTTGCTCAAATATTAGACCCTTTTTTTGGGGCCAACATGGTCAATTGTGATACATAGGGCACCCCCTCCCCCTTTCCTTGCTCTCAATAGTTGACCCTTTTTGGGGGCCAACATGGTCTATTTTGATACATAGGGCATTTTTTAGTTTTTTTTTCAGTTTTAAGTTTTGTTCCTAGCTGTTCCCTCTCCAAGTAGACAGCTACAAGTAGCCGAGGCTGAGGGAATCTCAGGACGGGTTATCTGCGATGGCATCGAAAGAAAAATAATAACTCTGGTTTCTTCGAGAGTGGACGGAGTATAATGACTGAATTCATTGAATCCAACTGGAATCCTATTAAATTAGCAGAATGAAAGTGAAAATGAGCACTCATCCTCTCACACTGCTGCAGCATGCCGGCTCCCGCAAACTGACTCTTATCATCTGCTCAACCTCAAGCTTTGACTGCTGCGAGACCCGAGTGAAGGAAATCGACAAGGCCAGCGTGCATGGAGGCCATTTCCATTTTAATCTTCCGTCTCATTCTTACGGCGCAATGATACAACTATTTGAACTCTCCGGAACGCGTGAGGTATCACGCCGCATTTGAAGGCGTTTTCAAAACAGCCAAGTTCCGATGTCCGGATAATCGTTTTGCATGGTTCATATTATTTTGTTTTATTCCGTACCACTTGTTTATATTTAATCCTCGTATAAAAACCACCCATTTGCTAAATGCAATTCTAGCTGGAGCGCATTTTAGCTATGCATTCACCACTGCAAAAATGTCAAAGGAATTTCCTTTGAGGGGCGGACTGGTAGTCGAAAAGTTAGAAGGTGACCTAGATGTGGGGGCCCCTCCTGTCTTTCGGGGGCCCCTCTAAGAAGGTCAGGGGGCCCGGCCCTTCCCCGGAAAATTTTGAAAATTTAACACTTTTTATTTTCAATTTTAAGCATTATCTGAGTTAAATTCTAAAGTACTTGAACTTCAAAATAACCCATTCTCAGGATTCTTCGGTGGCCCCCTCATCACATAAGCTTTAGGTGACCTTTCGTGTTTCTCAGAGACAAATTTTCAAGGATTTCGGGACCTTTTCGTGACTGAGAAGGATAGAAAAATTACAACATTACGGGAAAAAAAACGATGACCTGAAAAATTTTCGCCGCGGGGGCCCCTTCGGGACATCCGCGGCAAATTGTTAGGAGGGGATCGCCTCGCCGCCCCCATGGCCAATCCGCCCCTGCCCGAGTGCGTGACACAATGATTTAAAGGTCCAAGTCGGTGAAATTGCATTGACGCCAATTTGAAGGAGTTTTCAGTCTCCAATAAAGCCTCAAGGAAGGGACATCCGTCTGTTACACTGCCCTGACCTGAAGGTACCTAGTGTTGTTGATTTTTTCTCAAAAATTGATTAAATCGAAAGTGTCAATTTTGTCCATAAAATCGATTATTCGCAGAAAAGTCAAGCCCAAAAAATCGATTTTCAAGAAAATCACTCTGAATAAAAAATCGATTTTTAGGATGAGTATTGTGCCGTTCGTTTTTCTTAAATTCTCGCCTCATTCAGCGTTGAGTTTCAGTGTCCCTTAAATTGGAGCGATTTCGATGGCTTCCGTCAGTTTTGAAGAATAATGTAGGCTTGTTGTTTCCTTAATTATTCAGGAGTAAAATTCTTGTTCGTAAAAAATCGGAAAATTTCGATTCGTGAGTAAAAAATCAATTCAGCTGCAAAATCGCGTGCAAAAAATCAATTCAATTTAATCGATTATTTTGTGCAAAAAATTAATTCAATTTAATCGATTATTTAATTGTGCAAAAAATCGATATCTTCAGAAATTCGGGAAAAAATCAACAACTTTACCAGAAGGTCGTGCACGGCGTGTCAGCGGCTGAGCATGGTTTGAGGGAAATAAGCGAAATCGGTGGCCAAGGTGTGGAACCGTTTATCTTGGTTTGCGACGTTGCAGACTTCCTGTCGGACTTAATTTTTATTGGAAAACCAGTCAATTTATTCTCTTGAAAACTCCCTTGATTTTTCTTCGCTGTTATCGGAATATCCTGTCCACATAGTTCAAGCTGTAATGTTGACTTGTTTGGGTGATATTAAATTTCTAGCGAATATTTTGAAACACCGCAGAAAAGACACGTGTTTTTACACTTAAGACATCGAAATGTAGTCACATCAGGTTTGTTCCGACTAGTAAGGCAGTGTAACAGACGGATGTTCCTTCCTTGAGGCTTTATTGGAAACTGGAAACTCCTTCAAATTGGCGTCTATGCAATTTCACCGACTTGGACGTTTGAATTATTGTGTCACGCACTTTGGTTTCACAGCTTGAGGTTGAACAGATGATAAGTGTCAGTGTGTTTAACGGTAGCGTGCAGCTTGATTTAAGTCGGAAAACTCCGCGGTTTCTCCGGAAAACTCATGCAACCTGCGTAAAAGTGAAACTCGTGTATACTACGGTTGCGGTTGGGAGTAGAGGAGTCGAAGATCCGCAAGCTTTGGGTTGCAATGCTAGGTACCAAGCTGGACCTTCGAACGATGCCAAATCTCCTTTGATAAAACACGAACTTTCTAAGAATATGTTGCAATCATTTTTATTCCAGTTTTTCAAACAATTTTGACCGTGCTTGATACTAAAATATCTGAGAATTTCAAGGAAAAATACTTGTAACTTTCCTCAAAAATGAACTTTTTATCAAAGTAAAGGCAACGTTCAAATGTTTTTACAGCATTTTTACTCAGCACGGCAGAGTACATTGGTGGTAAAATCAGTGAAAGGCTATTTTTCAAGATGATAGGGAAAATTGGAGCGCGGTGAGCAGAAAGAAACCAAGCCACATTAGCTATTACCACATTCCATTGGGAAATTTACCTAATTTTTTACATGAAAACGGTTGTAGGGATTCTTTTGCAAATCTGCTGTGAATTTTCTGCATTGTATGAGGGAAATCCCCTAAAATTTTGCAAAAAATGCGCACAAACGGTCTGTTTTAAAAGTTAAATTGCTCGTTTAATTTTGGCAAGAGATAATGCGGCTTGGTCCCTTTCTGCTAAGCACAGTGCAATTGTTGATTGAAAGTAGAGTCCCTTTATACCCAGAGTTAAGACAACTCACTTTTGGTTCGGCTGAAAGTGGCCTAAAAAAAAATCCAATTCTGATTGGTTCTCGCTCATGGAGGCCGAAACGAGTGCACCAAGATGGCGGTACCTCGAATGTGAACAAGAATAATGAAAATATCACCTAATTGTGGTTTATCAAGAGTAAATTGTTATTTCCATCGGTCCAAAATGAAAATAGATTAAGAAATTATTCACAAACCAATCTCATTTTCTTTTTAATTGATCAATTTGTTGATGTTGTTGTTTTTGTGTGACAGACATCGCAGGATTCCTGATCCTTATCCCTCAATATCGTTCGTTTGGGTGCACTCGTTTCGGCCTCCATGGCCAGCCAAGGCCGGCTGCCAGTCAGCTGATAATCGAGTTGTCTTAACTCTGGGTATAAAGGGACTCTAATTGAAAGTTGAGAAACCTGGATCCATTAGAGCCTAACTCAGGTGTTACTTCTACTACGAGGGTGAAGGGGTGTCAGGGTGCGTTTCTCGATTTTTGTCATCACACCTCCACTAATTGTTTTGCTTCACTCTTTTCCAGATTATGGAATCTACTGAAACTCGTATAGTCTGGCCTGTCAAATTGAAAATAGGAGCTAAATCTAAAAAAGGTATCCACTATTTCAGCATAGTAAATATTGGTACACACTCGCACTATAGTAAGAAATTGAAGCACCATCAGATTTTTATTATTTAAAAGGGTTTTTTTTTAAAGAATTTTATTTAAATATAACGTAACTACTACAAATATTTCCGTGTATCTATCTACATGGTTTAAAACTAAAACTAGATGAATTGCATTAATTTTACATGATAATGCTAGATAATACGATGATGATCTTTAAAAAACAGGAATTGTAAAATTCTCTGCCTTCTTTTTTAAAGATATTAATTTAAAAAGGTGAATATCATAACACGTCCATAAATCAAATAGAAAAAAACATAATCATAATATTGAGAACTTCAATAAAACTTGAGGTTACTTAACAAGTTATCACAGTTTTAAATAAAACATGTGTGTATAAAACATAATATTGAGCTGAAACATCTCAAGAATTCCTCGTTAAAGGAGGCTCAAGTCCATCAAAACTTAGTATCTCCTCTTTGTTTCAGACCCTTGTATTCGTATTGCTGGTAGGACTGAAGATGTTGCCGAGGCAAAAAAGAAAATCTTAGCAATTTTAGAAACACGCGTGAGTATATTCTTTAATTTTCATGTTATTCTCAGTTGACTACTTTTATAATATAAGGGTCAGGTCAATGAAAGGTTAAACTAATACCTGAAATGAAAAAAGAAATAATGTCTCGTCACATAACACTTTTTTGAAATTTTTTTACAGATGACTCTCCAGATGTCTTTTCTTAATGTTCCCATTACTCTCCTTTTTTTTCTTTCCTTTTTTTCGGAGAGGTGTTGCAATCTTTTTGACCTCTTCCTATCTTTTATCGCCATCTTGGTGTTTGTTTCCTATCTTCTTTGATGCAATATTTTTCCATCACTACATCACCTAATGCTAGTCATACCATTTTAAAGAAATTAATAAAAAGCACACACTTGGACGGAATTAAACAGAAAGGAACCAAGCGACATCGGGATCGAACCGAGAAAAAGAGGTTTAAAGTTTGGCTCCTGCATGAGACTCAATGTTAAGATGAACTTCAAGTTCAATTGCTGCAAAATTTGCTCCAACAAAAACTTTGAATTCTTGGCGATAGTTAGCAGAGCAGTGGTTGAGTTCAAAACCACTCATAACTCAATTTTTTCCAAAATGTGGATTGGTTCCTTTCTGCTTAACTCAGTCCACTTAAGGTGTTCAGATCTGTTGCAAAACAAAAAACACTCAAAAAGTATTGTCAGCTCTCTGGAGGGGTAGACCTGTCATTATTGTCAATTCTTCCTGATTCCTCAATGAAGGTCTCTTTAGTTTCTCAATGTTTTCAAACATTACAATGATGGAACTGCAAAAATGTGCCTCTTGATTGCGGTGTTTCAAAATCTCTGTTCCTATTTTAGGTATCCATTTCAGAGGAGACTTGACCAACATCATGCCTTGAACTTTTTACAGAATATTCTTCTCTCAGAGAAGGAATAGCACTGAAAGTTTTCGAGAAATGACATAGTGTAGTTTTCTATTCAGAAAATAAAGTATAACAGGAAGTATGCAACACTGCAATCCAATGTATGCGTTTCTGCAGTTTACCTGTCGATTTATAAAATTACCTATATTAAAACTGTCAACCTGGCAATTTGTTTGTTTAATCTCAACCTGTTTTTACTTTTCTTTTTCAGCCATGGGTAATCAACTTCTCCTCTGGTTACAAGGTGAGTGTTTCACTCTCACAAAAGAGATTATTGATAAGCACAGCATGTGCAAAGTCACTCGGAGGCAACATGAGAAAGAAAAATTACTAAAAAAAAAAAAAAAACCTTTTTGCTCTTATTTAAAAATTGCATCTTTGGCCTCTGCTTTCAGTTTACAGTTAGGTTCTTTTAAGAATATATCCAAACATGTATTGACTTTTCATTACATGCTGCCCTCACTAGCATCAACCTCGAGGAATTTACCCACTCATCAATGCAAATTTTCCTCTCCATTTTTTGCTACCAAAAGTCAAAAACGGCTTCCGTATGTTTGAGATCAGTTGCCTGTTTCAAGAAGATAATTATGCAATTCAAAAGAAAATTGACACTACTTACTAAATTCAAAATGTACAGGAATGTTTTACAATACTTAGTAGGAAAACTAGATTTTGAAGTGTTGTGAACCAACATTTTAAAAGTTTGAACATATATAACTCAGAATGCCATTTTATCACTGTTGCTATTTTTTCACTCATATCCTTTCACGAAAATAACATGAGTTAAGTAATGGTGAGAAAATTATTGTTTTCAGGGCTACCGAGTCACTATGAAGCTGGACGTTAGTTACACTGATCACTCACATATTATTGGCAAAGGTGGACAGACTATCAAGAGTGTAATGGAGAAAACTGGATGTCACATCCATTTTCCGGACTCCAACCGTATTAACCAAACTGAGAAAAGTAACCAAATCTCCATCGCGGGAGAAATGACTGGTGTAGAGAGAGCTAGAGCACGAGTTCGGGTAAGTTTTTCAGTAAGTCTTTAAGTAACCAGATCAGTCTGATTAAAGGAAAAAAATGCACAAATAATGGCGTGAATAACATCAAACTGAATGTTGGAACCGTGCTGGGCTACACTATTCTGAGGAGGAAAAAGAGGAAAAAGTCAAAAAAGAAAAAAAAAATTTTAAATGAAAATATCAGGTAAAGAATGAAAAATATGTGACCGCCTGAAGGAAATTAAACCTCAGGCCACAGATGCAAAATTTTTAGTAAACCCATTTTTGTAGAGTTGGGTTACTAAATCTAATTTTGAAACAATGGAAAACTCTAAATAGCCTTTTTGAAGTTTTGTGAAACATAGCTTTTTGAACTTATAACTTTCAACTGCTATAACTCTGGTTGGGTCTGAAAGGACAATGCTCACAGTACCAGGCAATTTTTTACTGGCTGAATTTTGATATTTTTGACAGTATTTGACTCTATGTTCCTCTTAGACATTTTTTTCCCTCAAGAGTATGGATTACACTTTTTCATGTTTTTGTGTCAATAATTTTATCTCAAGTTTTGGCAACCAAGATCCTTAGATAGACGATGGACATGTAGTTTCAATTCTTTGGCTTTAAATATGATATCTGAGACCAGCTTTAATTAACCTTTAACCGCTTTTATTTCAACCTCTCACAATCCTTTCATCAACATGGTCTCTAGTCTCAGGATTGAATGTATTTATTCATAAGAAAGTGGTGAAATAGTGCTGGGTCCACACCATTTTGCGGGGATAACAAAGCCAAAATGTTCCAAAAATTTCAATGAGAGAAGAAAAACAATTTTGAGCTCTATTGAAAGATTTGGAAATTTTTGGCTTTGTTTTCCCTGCCAAATGGTGTGGACCCAGCATCATTTCACCACCTTATTACATACAGTTTGGGTCATTTCTTAGTGTTTTTTCTTGTGTATTCATAAGTTAAGTAAGTTTAATAGTCTACATATATGGAATGGATCCTCTATTTCAATAAACTTCCTTTGTTTCAATGTGTTCAATTTTATCATTTTTCAGTTCTCCTGTCTCTTATCGTACTGTTCCTTTGATTTGTTTCAGGAGCTAACTCCACTGATATTCAGTTTTGAACTACCATTGCTTGGTGGGATTCAACCATGCCCAGAACAGAACTGCGAAGAAATAAAGGAAGTTGAAGGACTTTACAACGTTCAGGTCATGTTCCGCACAAGACCGAAACTACATTCAACCCTTGTGGTCGTCAAAGGGTGTGAGTGGGAGTTAGCCTCTGTCAAAGAGGCAACCATTGTCCTCATGAACAAATTATGTGACTCTCTGGCCGTAAGTGTTCTTATTTATTTTCTTTTTTTTCAAGTTTTTTATTAATTTTTTCTTTGTTGAGAGGATGTTACTTATTTTTCCTTTTTTTTAAAAAATTATTGTTCTCCTTGCTATCGCCAATATATGCTTACTTTTAATTTTGAAGTTTTGATCTCGAGTCAATGCAATTCTTAAAAAAAAGGGAATAATCCCTGTATTGTAAGGGTGAAGCTAGAAAATTTTTTGTTCGACATAGCTGTCCGATCAAATTTTTCGTTTTTAATGAAAGAAAACAAGCTTCTACAATTTACGAAGATTTAGTAGCATGATTTTTTCCTCATTTTCTCATAAAATTATACAGGAACTTTGAATTTTAAAATTTTCGCTACTTTTGGGTCTTCTCTCAAAAACAGAGATATAAGTGAAAATCTTGGAACATCACAATGAACTTACATTTTTGCGTGCATCTCTGATTGCCCTAAGAAATACTTTGATTTTCTATTCTATTTTTTGAGTGTTCAAAAGCAAATAGGGAAATTCTATTCACATTGCCCTTGTGTATCAAAACATGATGCCTCCTTGTGAGATGAAATCATCAGCTCATGTGTCAACTTATTTTGTTCCAATCTTGCAAAATTGCAGAATTTTTTGAAAACAGGGTTGACAATACCTTTCAGGAACCAAGAGAATTTTTCCTCCAAAAGAACTAAGTAAATTTTGTGGAAAGAGAAAATAAAATTTACAGCCTCTTTGCATCTCTGCCAATCTTAGATAACGGAGGAGAGAATGGGTCACTAAGAGAAGAATTTTCTGGATTAATTCATTTCAAGACTGGGCAAGGACAGTCTCTGACTTTCTGAGACGATCTTGTACTTTTTCAAAATTTTCCAGTATGATGATTGTGAACTTACAAATCATTGACCTTCTTCATTTTTTACAGAACCAGATGCCTGTCCACATGAGCATGGAAATTTCTCCAATTCATCACTCTGTAGTCTTAGGCCGAAATAACACAAACTTGAAAACCATCATGCATCACACTGGTGTTCAAGTTATGTTTCCTGATGCCAACGATCCCAATATTCCTTCTCTGAAGAAGAGCTCAGTTACGATCACTGGAGGTATAAACCAAGTATACCTTGCTAGACAAATGCTTTTGGTAAGTGTCAGTGTCAGGATTCAGTTTTTCCCATCCTTGTCTCGGAAAGATTTACACAATCTCCGAAAGCTTTTACTATGTCTGAGCCTCAGTGGCAGAAGGTTAAACTCCGCAGGAAACTGCTTGCCTGAGTCCCTCTGACCTCATGTGACTAAAGAACTTCGGCTGGTCATACTTCCTTATGACATCAAGAAAAACCTTAGAGGCAGGAAAATTTCGAAAGTTTTTCAACATTGTTTTATGTCAGAGGTCAAAGTGACAATGTCAAACATTGTGTCGCGTCGTTCTGCACAAAATTTTCACACAGTGGGAAATTTTTTTAAAGTTTTAGAATTGGTTTTCTGTGTTAAAAAAAGAATTACAGAATTCAGATGTGAGGTAAAATTTAGAACTGTTCGTAAGTAAATGGAGGTTTGGTCAAATTCAGTTTTGCAATGCAATCAAGTCTCTCTCACCTATCCCTTCTTATGTCCAAATTTATTCTGAAAAATGAAAGCAAAAGTGTTTTTTAGCGAAATAAGATTTATTTCTCAATGTTTGTGCAATAGATTGCTACTTCAAATTATTAATAGAGTTAACTGAATTTCATTCTTTTTTACAGGGTTCTCTTCCAATGGTTATCATGTTTGACATAACAGGAGATACAGCCATGATGTCCAATGAGCAAATAAATGAACTCATGCATACATTGGATGTTGTCATCTCAGTTCGCTACAAACCAAAACAAAGCGTCACCTCAGTGTCCATCAGGGGTGTTGAAAGAAATGCCAGTGAGTCTTTCTCCCATTTTTCTCCCATTTTTCTCTGTCGCAAGAAAATAAAGTGTTTCATGGTTTAATTGCTTTTAGATGTTTAGAGCCATGTAAAGGCATTGTGAAGTAGAAGCAAATTATTTTTCTCAATCAGACACAGATTTTGTCTCCCTAAATGGCGGGTCATCGATTGGTGATGGATATGGTTTTTTGGTCTGCAACTTTTCTAGCCAATAAGAAAGCTGGAGGTTGGAGATACTTCCGATGGTATGCAATTGGTGTGTCAGACAGCATAAGCAGTATTTGCGATCAAAGAAGAGATTATATAGTATACTTATGTAGTATATTTCTGAGTACATTTTTAATTACAAACCATAATTTACAAAAACCCTAATTACTCATCTCATTTCACATCATCACAATCCCGCAAGGCCACGAGGAGGCACAGTTAGGTCGCCGACCGAAAAATTGTCCAATCAGATGAAAGGAAGCTCCCAACCTCCACCTCGGGAGCAGAAGACAACTTTTTGCTGCCGGTCTTTGATGACCAAGCTCTGATGGTCCACGTTGGGATACCAACAGAGAATGTACTGTACCGTACGCAGAAGATCCGAAACAAAATAAAATGTAATTATGGTATTTCCGACACAAAATCTGTGTCCGATGGAGAAATAAAATTTGCTTTAGGTAGGTAATTTACTTCCAAGTTTATTTTCTCAACAAGAGAGTGTTGTAAAGTCTTTCTTAAACTTCTAAGGAAAATTCCTGTTTCAACTTAAGAATTCTTACTCAAAATTTCATGTTAAAGTGAAGATTACTTACTTATTATCGAAAAATAAAACAAAGTGGGAGAATTATCAGATATCCTAAGCTGACAAGCAATGCTCTTTAAAAAGAAGAGTCTTCGCTACAAGTTGTATTGAGGCAAAAACTCAAGTAGTAATTTATCTATTCAACTGTAAAATAGTTGTTTTATTGTGCAGGAATTTCTTCTTCAAAACACCAAATGTGTTTAACTACTGAGATGCAGTTTTTTTCTGCAAAATATTTTAGTATTTTAAGGTCATCATGTTTAGCACTTCTTTAATGGTGACTGTAATTTACTCATCCTTTAATTTTGAATTTCAGGTAATGTTTATGAAGCGCGTCGTATACTATTAAAATTGAATGAACCATCGATAAAAGCCGTCATCCCTGATTCTTACAACATTCCATCACCCACTCCATCATACTTATTCAATGCGGGTACGTAAATATGATTGGACTTTATTCTCAACCCTTTGTAATTTGTCTTCAGCAAGTTCTCATTAGAGGCTCACGTGAAATTTCTCCGGTACAGAGTTTAAAATCTGATAAAACTTTTTCATTCGTCCCTCACTTGAATTTCTGATGTCAACAACAATTCTTCCACGAAGTATTATCACAAACAGTTTTCCCAAGTTTTCTTTCTATCAACTAATGTAGCTCCAACTAGTGCTCAGCGATCATTGTTGCCTTGAATGTCCTGAAGAATACAAGGTTTGGCTTTTACTTTAATCCTAATTGAACAACATCTTACCAAAATAGAACTCTTCATAGATTTATAGGGAACTGTTTGCTTTGGACTATCATGTACAGAAGACTTGTATCAGTCAACTGGACATGTCAGTCAAAAGTAAGTAAGCATCTCTTTGCTTTATGTTAAATAATTTAGCAATTTTTCTCGCTCTTATACATTGTCTGATCTTTTTTATGTGATTGTTTTCAGGATTATCAACCTCACCTGGAGCTGGACTCAGCAATCTTTTAGACAATCGATTCAGTAAAAATAATAATATTTCTCCCATAAATTACAACATTTTGAACAGCCGCAAAGTGTTCCCATCCGAATTGTCACAGCTTCCATCATCAATGTGGCCCTTGATGCCCAACCTAGCTCCTCAATTTTTCTCTCCCAATCAGCGAATGCATCATCAAGAACAGCTGACTGCAACTCTACAGAATCATCAAGATATCTTATCACAGAGCTCATTGTCCCTTCCAGACATCAAAGATTGCCAAGGAGGTATGTCTTAAAAGGGAACTCTCTGAATTTATATCATCACTTGACTTACTTCTGATTCACGAATATATTTTGCCAATCCTCAGGACTTCTGTTTTAAAAATGTTTTTAAAAAATGTCGACATGTCCTCATTATCTTGATATATTTTCTCCAAAAGTTTGCAAGGAGAAGTACTTGTATGAAAATAACAGCTTTTCTTGCTACCCCAATTGACAAACTGGAACCAAAAAATATGTTGCAGTAAAAATAGATGCTCTCTCTAGGAGTTAATTTTGGTTTAAATGGATTATTTTTTGTTTTTACAGCTTATTCTTCGCTTAGTAGCAACACGAGCTCATTATCTAGTCCTACTGCCAGTCCTCGTAATGTTTCGCCAATTCCTTGTGCTCCAGAAAATAAATTAGGTGAGTGAGTTATCCTTTCAATTAATCGTAAGTCAATTTTTTTCATGCTAAGAAAAATAATCCTTTTTTTATCATCATCATTACTATAAGCTTTCTGACCCCCTAATTTTCATTTTTTTTCACAGTTCCCTCTACCGTTTTATGAGCCGATTTCCATGAGTTTTGCTCCTATTGAAAAGTGATACCCTCTAAATGAGCCCACTCCACTCAAATTTTGGAAATATGACTCGGCGTGTTTCATATTATCCAATAATATCGTGAATTCTTCCATTTAAGAAAGTAAATGTTCATTTTTTGTCACAGTTTATTCCAAAGATCTACCGGTAGATTGATTTTTGCGGCTGTTGATAGAAGATAGTCTGTAGAAGAGCCCGCTCTATTCAAATTAATTCACGGGGACGCTCAAAGGGTACTAAGTGTTCTGTGGGGGTTGGGCCGCGCAGTGGCCATGGGATGTACTTTTATATGTAGTGTCAACTGTGTTTGTCATTTGCGCCAGCCTAAAATTTTTGAAGGCTAATATTTTAGTCAAAGGCTAAATGATTGAATCTCCAGTTGAAAGTCAAATTTTTGAGCTGAAATGGTTCTTATCTCAGACTTTTCTTTTTACTATTGTTTGTGTTTTTTCTTTTCAGATTTATCCTCTCTTTTAACAAATCTCACTGATGAGAACGGTTTTGAACGCCCCCTATCCATGGACTACAATGCTGCCAAAATGAAAGCATTTCGAAGTAAGACTTTTTCATCCAAACAGAATTCATGCAATAATCTGACAAGAAAACAAGAAAATAGATAAAATAGAACCGAAAAATTAACTTTTGTTTTGATCCATTTTCTAGAATTATTAACATTGGGTTGCCGGTTAAAAACTTGATTCACTCATGACATTGATTAATCATTCAATTTTTTTAGAGACCTGAGGCTGTAGTGTTTTTGTCGCCTCACAAAATGCTGTAGAAGCAACAATGGGAGAAATGGGAAAAAATCTTGGAAATTTACAAGTGCTGTGTTCTCTGATCCTACCTAAACAATCAAATTCCTGTAGCATTTTTTATTTTCTGTAGGAATTTTAAAATAATCTTGATGAACAACAGAAATAACCTTGAACCAATAGAAAGAACATTGAATTGATGAAGCACAAGTACATTTCTTCTACGTTGCAGCAAGATTATCTTTTTCTAGAGCACCTTTATAAAGTTTGAATGAAACGGAAATAAAAACAGAATGTCCAATGGACGCACCTGGCAGCAATATATCATCATGCTTATATTATAAGTCAACAATTGGTCTTGAGGAAAGAACCGAGTCACATTTTGGAAAAAAATATGAGTTATGAGTAGTTTGGAGCTTCACCCGCAGAAAATTGTCTTCTTTCCAAAATTTAAGAGAAGAAATATTTTTAATGTGGTAGTAGGAGGTGAGCTCCAACTTTAAAATTGAGTCTCATGGAGGAATAAAGCCTGAAACCTACCATTCTCGAGTCCAACTTGATTTAACTCCGTTCCTTTCTCTTAATTTTGAGCCACATGATCTGTTTATTCTCATGAAGCTTGCAATTTTTCTCTGTTGGATTTTAGCTGTCCAAAACCAGAATTTTTCAGCTGGTCGATTGCGCATTCCGACAACCTCCTGGTGTGGGTTAGGATTCAGTCAGTCATCGCCCACCCATAAACTTAAAGAACAACTCATGAATGATAACTTACCCGTGGTGAGTTGAAAATACCTTTTTTTTTTTTTTTTATAAAACTCTCATTACTCTACACCCGAGGTTTGTTCATATGGATGAAGAGTTCTGCAAGATATTCAGTAATTGGATCTGCTCTGTAACACATGTAAACATTTCTTTAACTAGCCACTGTTCGGAAGTTCTCTCAATTCATCAAGCAGAAAAATTGAAAGAAAACGTGAACTCGTACTACTAATAACCGCCTTTTTTAGTGATCAGTATGATTCTAGCAGCTCTACTTGCAGAAAAGTAACTCATTAATCTATTTCTCACCGCTAACACGGGGTAATATGTGCGTCTCATTTTCTGTTTATCTCTCTCCAGACTCAACTTGAAGATGCTAACAGTAGTAGCCCAGCTGCATCTGTTTGTTCTGACAACGATTTGAATTTTGCTGTCAGCAGTTACCTTGATTCAGCACCTGGTGCGACGTTAGACTCTGTCTTCGCTGCTCAAGAGAGAGACATCACTTCATTATTCATATCCCTTGGATTTGAGAAATATATTCGTAAGTTTTATAATCTCTCCAAAACTGTTTACTGTATGTACAAAGAAGGGTCTCAGTGCCTCAATTCTATTTTTCAGAGATGCAATATTTGTCGAGTCCGGTACAAAAATAGGAATTTGTGTTTTTGACAGGAAAATCTCTTGAAAGTCAGAGATTGATTTCCAAGCAGGCCAGTTGATTCTTGTCCCAACATTGGGTGTAAAGTTGTTTATGAATGAGAAAATTTTGAACCGCAACATGTCAAATGAAATCGTAAATTACCTCTGGACGGCAAACTTTGTACTATCTCAGTTCCAGTTTGATTTGACATTTTTTGGGTTTGTTTCTGCATACCTGACTAGTGAATTCTTTCTCAATCAGTTAAAGAGTCAAAGAGATCAAAGTCACATTTTTAAGTTTTCTGGCATTGAAAGTCCCTCTTTTTGTGGATGACTTTAATTCATTTTGTATTTACAAAGAAAGTATTATCTTTCGTGTTTGGATTTATGAATGGGTGCATGAGATCTACAAAAAAGTCTTGTGGCTCAAGGTTGACAAACACCTGAAGCACACTTTCAAAGGAGCCACTCAACACAAAATTCACTGAAGCAGATGAGCGATAGCAGCCCCTAGGAACACTGATTTGATTTTTATTTTATTGATTTTATAATTATTTGTTAGAAACGGGAATTTTATTTTGTTACAGCTCTTTTCAAAAGTCAAGAAATTGATCTGTACACCTTTATGACGTTATCTGACTGTGATCTTAAAGAAATTGGTGTAAATGCATTAGGTGCTCGCCGAAAACTTCTCTTAACCATTGCTGGTAAGTTCTTGTCTTATTTTTCATTCCCTGAGCTTTAAAATCGTCTGCCCCTTTTTTAATGGAGGTTGAGGAAAGAGTAAACATTTTCTGTTCAGCAAGTAACAAGATTTAAATTTCACCCAAAGCAATCTCTTTTTTTGACTAATGTTATTAGTCCAAGCATTTTCAAGAAAAATTCAGCACTCAAAAATATTCTACTGCTCAACACTCAGAAATTAATTTTGCTAATCTGTTCAAGTATTCTTTCCTGTTTGGTGTGAATACATGAAAACCGATAATTTTAATCTCTCTTTAACTAAAAAATCTGTTTGGCTCATATACTTGTAGCTAACCATTTTGCGGTATCAATGCTATGAAGGGCTTTGTGCCTCTGGTGTGATGCGTCATGTGTTACTCTTATTATTTTATTTTATGGAGTATGATGAGTAAAATTCAGAAATTGTTGATGTATCCACCAAGCACCAAATACAAATTGAATGAAGAAATTTTATGGAGCAATCAATTGTTTACCGTATTAAATGGTTCATTTTACAATGAGTAGATATTTTAATAATGCTACTTTTAATGTTTACAGAATTGAAAAAACGTAAGAACAGCGGATTGGCTTTCAATGGTAGCGCAGCTCCCGGAGCAGAGCGAAAAGGCAGCCGTTCCAGCCTTGTAGATTGGTAATTTGTATACCCATTTTCCTAGTTTGTAAATAGTTGGATGTAGAAGCAGTTTGTAACTATAGTTTTGCCCAAGTATTTGGGATAAGACAATTTTGCGAACTTTCATGAAAAAAAATTAATTTTATATGTATTTTCTATCCGTACTTAGATGTTAGTTTTTAACTTGATTTTGGCTCGTATGAAGCCTCTTATTCAATTTTTTTTACTTACGTATATTTTACTGAAAAGAACACGTCAACCTGTGCTAATTTTACCGTGAATTTAAATTCAATTTCCACACTTTGCTGACCGTAATTTTCTTTCTCCGATTTTGGAGCCGTATCATGTACAGTGTGAAAAATGTTTAGGCTCCTTAACTCATCAAGCTCAGAAGGATCATCTTAAAGTTAGAGCGGATTTATTTATTTTGTTTCATAAATAATTCCAATACTTGAAATAATGTAGACATTTAGTTTAAATTTTTACACAAATAGCGTTTTCGAAGATCGTGCAAAAATTCCCTGTTCAGTTTTTAAATACATCGCTAATAATGAATTTCAATTTTAATGCGCATGAACTGTTTTGATCATTCATCTGAAAATCTTTGAAATTAGGTTCTATTGCAGCTGCTGTAGTCCGTTCACTACTTTTATTAGATTTACAAATTGTTATTTATGAATTTATTTATTTATTTATTTATTATTTTACAGAGTTCTCAACAAAAAAAAACTTATTTAATCATTTAGTTAACTCTTTTACAAATCATACGTATTGTTTGTAATTTTTATCTGTATGCATACTTAGTTAATTACTACCTTTCTTTAGACTTAAGCTGCTTGAATCATTGCAAGCAAAGGTATTTGTGACTAAATCTAAGTTGGCTTGACCTTGCCGACTGTGAGACAGAGCTCGCACATCATACGTTGAGATTAATGTCACTTAATGGTCCCATTTACCAGTAAGCAAAAACAAGTGACGCAACACAAGATGTGTAAACTTTGATATGTGGGCTTCTATCAAGAAGTGAAAAATTAGATTTTTGATCGCTGATCACGTGAAGATAAATTTCTCTTTCTTTGTGTGGAAAAAGTAGCCAAGTTCAATTTACTGTTTTTGTTATCAATATTGATGTCAAGTTATTTTCATATTTTAATTTGTAACATGTGTCTTGAAAAAAAAAAAAAAAATTGTAAGAATTGAAAAGTATGTCTCTGAAAATTTACGACTGGATCAATTTTGAAAGAGAAGCACAGAAACAAGTGGTTTCTTCTTGGTCTTTGATTTTACTCAGTCCTTAAATTTTTAACATCTTGACCTTGCGTCTGAGAACACTCATCATTTAAACACTGATGCGTAGACTTTGAGTTTATCTGAAGGTGTGTTCAGAACATCACACACAAGCATAATCTTACGGGACTCTGTTTTTCCCCTGAATCTGCAGACATTTATCAAATAGATCATTCACAGTGTGACTATCTCTATTTTGTTGCCTCTTAAACGTCTTGGAAGTTACAGCATTTATAATTTGACAAACTCACTCAATTAATGTGATGCTTTCAAAATACTCAGTTTCATGTACTTTAACATTTGTCGTCGAAATAGTCATCAGGGTATGCTTTCATGTCTGCCAAATAACAAATTCAGTGACATACTGTAGGTTATGAGGGTAAAGTTTTGATTTTTGCTCACTGAACCTACTGATTCTAGAAAGAATCCCTGTAAGAACTCAATCCAGCACCAAGTGTCTCATTTTGCAAGAAATCGTAATTGTTTTTTCTGTTTTTGTTTGAATATTTACTTTCTTCCTCTGAACAACTGAATCAAACGTTAAAAGAACTGTTGCAAAGACTTAATTATACCCTTTGATCAAAAATATAATGATTGAGTAGTGCTCAGACTTTCTCGTAATCCTAGTGAACAGTGAAGAAAATTATTAATCGAAAGCCCAGAATCAATTATCCAAAGATATGAAATGAACTAAATATGTTTTTCTTTTATTTATCTAGCCACCCCTTTCTTTGAATATTTGTCTTTTTTTCATAGTGCAATCTATTTATTATCGATAGCAAATAATTTCTTATATAAGCCATGCTCTCTAATTTTTCTTTGTTTGTGTTTCCATCACTCCTCGGAACAATTTCTTAGGGAATACTACTAGCCCTTGAATATTATTTTTCATTGTTTTCTAATGTCGGATTATATTTTGTATTGGTTGAAATCAGAATGGGTTTTCCAATAATATTTTGTTCAGATTTCTCATTGCGAAAATCTCCAAACCCAATTTTCGTTGTTTCATGAGAGGATAATTAGTTCATTTTAAGTCCTTGTTAAATGCTTTTGCCCAAATGCTCTGTGAGTTTTCAATTTTCTCACTTGTTTTTTGTCCTCTTTTCAATTTTGATCCTTTTGTTTTTTTCCTTGCTTATTGATATTGTCTTAATGACTAATGCTTCACGGATAGTTATGATTTGCTGCCTCCATGTGTCTTTAAAGAATACTTATCAAGTGGTCAGGAACTCTTAAGTGGGTAATTACTTCTCAGGGAGCATCTGCTTTTATTTTTCATGAAAAGTTTAAGGGAGAAGAAAACAAAGATTCTATCACTAACTAAATTTTAAGGATATCTTTCTAGATTTGTTATGATTTTCACAGATACGTTATACTAAATATTTCAGAGAATCCTCTTATTTCAAAATCCTTAACTCAGTACAGCTTTGTGCAAGTTTGTCATTTTCATTTTATCCCGAAAAGAGTTTTTTTCTGAAAGAAAATAAAGTTACTTCTTGATTTTAAATTTTAAAATTAATTTTGCATCACTGATTTTAATCGAAAATCATACTTTTGAAGTTTTGACAAATACCTTTTAGAGCAGCGTATTCTATGTGTGCTGTATTTTTTTACAGTATCATCTGTATCCAATTGACTATAGCTTATAAATTTCTTCAAGTATTTAAATATCTTATCAATTTATGATTTCTGGAAAACCCGAAACCAGTATTAATGTCTCCATTTGGGAAAGGAAAAATTTTATGTATCATGAACATCTTACTGTTTTGTTAAAAAGTTTCAATGCTCATCTTTCTTTAATTTTTTTGATTTACCTGTAAGTGTTTCTGTCACCTCCTTTTCATTTTCCGCTTATTCCTCTTTTTTTTGTTTGAGAACGAGGTATGACACGAAAAATGCAATCAAATTTTTTTAAAAAAAACACCTCTCTTTGTCTTGAGGCTGATGGCCTTTCTTATCGAAAAGAGAGTAAAAAATTATAAAAAAATTAAAAAAACAGAACAAAACTAAACAAAAATTTATGTACTTAATTTACGCCATCAGAATTATTTTTGTACTGTATCAACAATGCATTGATTGTACTATGAAATATCAGTCTTTATTTTCTTCTAGAAAAAACATCACTGAAAATGTGTGTCCTGATATTTTTATTGCTCGGCCATGTTGATCAATTTAAGTAGTGTGTGTGATCTGATGTTTATTGATATAGAGGAAGAATGAAGCCATCAAAAGATGGCAATTCTATTATGAGGTAATGAATGAAATTTGTTCAAAAGGTTCTTACCTTAGTGTATTATAATAATCTAGATTTAAGTGAATGAATTTCTGAACAGCTGTACTAGAGTTTCCAGTCTTTTCAGTCTAGGATTGCCCTGCTAGAAATGAATAGCAAGTCACATCAGGATTTTTCATGGAAGATAAAATTCAAGCCTTCGGTTTAAAATGATGAATAACTTTTAATAAAAAAAGAATGCTACGCCTGAAGATTATAGAAAATTATCATGGTTTTAGTAAAACATAAAAAATTGAAAGCGTATGCTATTTGGACAATGCCTGACGTGACTCGCCATAGTCTTTTGATGAGTTTGAAAATGCTCCTTTAGTTGAATCAAAGACCAAGCTATCTGAATCTTTAATTGCAGAAAGTGTGAAAACTATCATTTTCACACCTTTAATTTTATGATTCTCACTTTTTTTCAGCAGCCTAATCCAATTTCTGTTATGAAATTTTACTCCCAGGTACCTATGAGAAAATTCTGTATATTAGGTCAACGCTGTATTTAAAATTTGTTTGTAAGTATGTTTACCATTCTTTTTGTAAAAATGTATCATTGCAACAAATTTTGATTTGCAGTAGCAACTTTTTGATACTTAGCTTTATTATATAAATCTTGAATCCCACGATTTTTAGTCTTTTTTTGTTTTCCTCCTCTCCTCCAAAAACGGTATTTCAAACCCTGTCTTTTATTTAGTTTTCTGGTTTATTTCTATAAATCAGCATTTCGTAATCATCTCGTGACTAGTCATAGGAAAAGAGACTTAGGCACATACATGCTAAAACGTACTAAATTAAGTTGCTCTTTTTCTCCACAGATTCTGATTTTTTTTTTTTGACGTTGTAGACTTTGTCATTCTTAACTTTTTCATTGGAAAGCAAGTCAACATTAAGTAATAAGAATTTCTTAAAAACTTCCTTAATTTTCCTTCTCTACTGGCACTATTTTCGGTGTATTTCAACATACTAAATTTGCTTTCTCCATTTGAAAAAACAAGATAGGAGCAGAAATTTTGAAACAGCGCATTAGAGATTCGTGGTTTCACACTTTGGCCATCGACAATATGGTGAATGCATTGCATGTGCTGACTCGCATCAAATGGTAAATTTTTGCTTTGAGTTTTCGACAAAGATTTTTAGGAGATTGTAAATTGCTCTGTGTGCTTGGGCATAATTATCTCATTTTTGGGTAAAATTCCAAGGTACCTGAGCAGTTAATTGATGCCTGAACGGCGAAATCACTTATCTCTGTTTGTAACGTTGCAGATTTCTTGACATACTGACATACTTTATATCTTCTTTGGAAAACTTGTCAACATTATTTGTTGAAAACTTGAGAATATCTTTTAGAAATTTCAAGCTATACATTTGACCTGTTTCTTTTGGAAAAAGTAAAATAGAAGCAGAGATTTTGAAACGCATCAATGCAGAGACTTGGTTTCGCTCTGAGACCATGGAAATATTTCAGTGAAATCTGTTTCAGATCTCTATGTTTGAGCAATTCTTCCGGTGCAAATTGGATTGCACTCAGCAAAAAGGAACCAGCGGAATTGCCGTGCTGTATAAATGTTGCTTCTTCATAATAATCCAAAAAAATTCACTTAACTGAAGTGAGCTACATAGTTACCTACAAAGTTGATGTCCAATGTTTTCGGAACAGATAGTATTCTAAAAGATCCGGAACCATCATAAAACAGCACAATTCGCTCCGGGGTCACTTTTTACCATTAATTTACCCATTTGGATTCCTCTGTTATTACGAATCACTGAAATTACCTTTTTGGAGCAAAATGGTGGGTAGGAAATTTTAATTGCCATTTTAAATGCCAAAAAGAAGATTAGACAAGAAATTAGCGAGTGCAAGGACTGTCTTAAAAATGCTAAAGAAACAATCACTAAATTCAAGAATGAAATTGGTAAGCTTTAAAGTGATAAACCAGCTGAGGCAACTGTAAATAATGAATTATAAAACATTTCCTGTAAATAAAGTTCCTACATTTATATAAACTCAGCTTCCTTAGGATTCTTTTATGTTAATCGTTTCCCCTTAATCATCATAAAGAACAAGGCTTTATTTAAATTCTCTCTGGTATTACTGCATTGAAGTGAAATTGAGGGGCTTGGAGGTCAAGGCGCATTAGTGCAATTTTTAAAAGTTGAGATCTTAACAATTTCAAGTGAAACTGGTCTTGATGCATATTTTGTGAAAAATTCGCTCCCAAATTCCTATTTTTAAACATCAAAAAGTCAGTTTGAACTTTCTTTCTGCCTTGAGGATCCATGAAATTTCGAAACTTCTAACAAGTACATTTTGAAATAGCAAAAACTGCACTAGTGTGCCTTGTACTCCAAGCCCCTCATTTGTCATCATCAAAAATGAGTTGATCCCAGGTGGTCAGTGGAAACCTCTTGAACTACTTTCTTCGAAACGAGCAGAATTATATTTTGTAATGGACCCGTAAACAAGGCAAAAATTGAAGCGTTCTGATACATGGCTTTTAACCAAAACACGTTAAACACAACTTGCACAAAGGGACTTACTGAAATCAACTCCAAACTAAGATAACAACGTTTTTTAGTTTACATTGGTTACGAGAATTTTGAATTCCCTGCTCACAAGAAAAACAATGGTCTACTTGAATCAAATCACACCTACCACAACAGTTTCGGCAGGCTTCTTAATCAAGCCATGTTCCTTCCTGCCTTGTATTGTTCTAGGTGTTAACTACATGCAACAGCTGAGCCGAAGATCCAAAATCAAGGTTGCCGTCTTTTCATACCGCAGAGACTGTTACAGTAACCCTTACTGCGCAATTTGTCTGAACTAGACTTTAATTTTTCCATGAGCGCAAGGTTTGAATTAACGCATCAAAAAATGTTAAACAGATCAATTAGAGTTAGTTTCATCAATTTCTGTTGCGTAAATCGTGTTCTAGGTAAAATTTTTGTTACGACATGTATCAGAATGTGTTAATTTGTACCTTCTAAACTGGTCCATTAGTGGACTTGCGGCAAATTATGGATTTACTGATTTTCAACTTAGCATGGCAGCATACCACTGTGACCGCCCCCTCTTGATCCGCCAATGCTTCGAGTTTTGAAAAGCTCAAAAAGTTAAAAATTAAAACTATTGTGAATTTTCAGTTCAATATAGGTTGATTGAAGCTAACCGGTTTAAAGTTACCCAATAGGGTTAAGTGTGATCAAAATCAACACAATTTCAATTGCATTTTCCTCAATAAATAGTACCTTGAAGAGCCACCCCTCTACAAAATGCTCTTCAATTCTTACTCAACTCCTCCCATCCAAAAAAAAAATCGAATTTGGGAAACACAAATTAAATAAAATTGCATAATTTTGATATATAATTTAACATTAACGATATTATATGATACCTCAATAATAAAATTTAACAAATCAAAAATACATCAACAACATCTCATAGAATGATCCAACAAGGACAGTGATAGGTGACATTGCTATGAAATGAACTTGGGGAAAATAATTATGTGTTGTCATTGTGGCTTGGAGCATACAGAGATTTTTTTCAATGAACATAAGAATTACATACTAATACTGCAGCACAAGAGTTGTTGAAAAAATATAATTAATCTCGTTCATAACATAGTCATTTTAAATCAAGTGAAATCAGCCGCTCATAAGCATTATGGTAAATAGGTTTAGCATCTTACGACTTTAGGTTCCAAACTATTGAAATTTTTTCTTTGATCTTTCGTTTGAGATTAACTGCTAAGGCTTGTGGAGAAAAGCTACTGGTTTTTAAGGGGTCCAGGGGCTGGAAAAAATAGCAAAAAAAAAAAAAAACAACATCTCTGAACTTTCCTGCGTTTAGTATTCGGTCTGGCCTATTTGACTGGCTTAGAGGTGACCAATTTCAAACAAATAAGATGCAGTTTACAGCGATAAAAAATTTAAGCACAGCTGATTGGCATGGTGCAAAAAGATGAATGCTGTATTAGATTGTTGTAGTTGTTCCCAACACACCCTGTCAATTGTAAAGTTGAGTTGAGGCTAATAAGAATGAAAATATTACAACTATTAAAACAGCAACTCTTGAAGAAGTCTCTATCAGTTGAAAGATGCTACTACAGATTTTCAAATTAACCTACTTTAGAGAACTTTCTTATGGAAAAGACTAAAATAGAATTTAGACAAAATATACTCAAAATGGGGAATGGTAAATTGTTTGAGTTCCAACCAATTCATAAACTAACAAAATTGTTTATGCATGTACTTAAATTAAGCATTCATTGGAGAGACATTTACAATGTTTTCAGAGGCTTTAATTACACCCTCATGCCACTGTTTAATTACAGCTAAAGCGAATTTTAGCTCATGCTTCATGGATGACTTTACTTTAAGACAACAAATCTGGAAAATTTACGTTCAATAAATGAGTTGAGAAAGTGCCACCATCATACTTTTTTAATACATAACTAGTTGCCAAGATATCAGCATGAGTCCCTTTTGAGGAAAAATCATTCTCAAGAAAGAATTAAAAGGGCACCAGAATTGATTGACACCAAATAACAGCAGCATTTGTTCCTCTCCACTATTGGGAGCCAACTTCTTCCAGAAAATCTTATGATATTTTACCTAAAAATAAGAAGAGAAGAGAAATAGTTAGAACTCATTCAACAGAAGTTGCTTCAAAAGCAAAATATTAGGATACCTGCAGCGACCCTGCATGGGAAACCAAAGGTATTCTGACCTGGCTAAATTTTAATTATTATTCAATATTATATTCTTTGCGACTTTCTAAGCGCAATGAATTTTTGAACTTAAAATTTCAATATGCCAAGGTCGAGACAAGCAGGGCTGAAAAAATAATTTTTTGGCCTTTTCACAAGTGTTTTCCAATGGAGCTGAGGAATTCCTGGTTTAGGTGTAAAGAGGATACGCCTCACTCTGTTATCATTCGGAAAATTTGACTATTTTGTCTATCTTATCTTCCTGATCAGCAAGGAAACAAAAGCTCTCCTTGAAAACCAGTCGGATGTTTCATCATCATTAATATAAACTTCGAAGGATTCAGACTTTCAGCGATTCTACCTTTTTCTATTTCACTCGAGGGGAAGTGTCCCCTCTCCCCGCCTCTCTTCCCCACCCGGTGACTGACGCTGCGCTGTGCTGAACGGTTCAGCCTGAACCTTTCCCCTACGTCTGACCGTTCCCCACTCCTCAGTCAATCGAACCATGCCTCCGCTTACGCATTGTTGCTCGCCCACCCAGGTACATACCAGGGTACCTAGCGGCCAGCGGTCAGTTGATGATAAATCTCGCTCATGCTCCCACGCAGCTACGCATAGATTACGCAAGCGAATTATTTTCCGAATAATTAGAATTTCTTCGATAGTAATTTTCTCTATTAATTTGAATGTACATTTTCTTTGCTTTACCGTGTTTTCCTTGGTTCTCTCCTGTGTTTTTCTTAAATCTGTTTTTATTTTATCTTGCTAATGCTCAGTTGCAGCTGAGCTCAGATTACCCTAGTGAAGTCGTTTTCTTTGTTATTTTTCTTTATTTTTTTCTCTGTTATACTAATTCTCTTGAATCTCTTCTGCGTTTCTCTGTCTTTTCTATTCCTTTCTGTTCTAATATTTCTTTT